ATCGCCTTAAAAAGTAGAAAATAAGGCTTTTAGCGATAAAATTTCAAAAATGACAATAATAAATACACTTTTAGAGACAAAATAATTTGGTCTCAAAATGGTTTATTTTTTGAGGCAAAATTTGATACCAAAAAGATAACAATTAATCACTAATGTTTAATTTTCGTTGCTAAAAATATAATAATGACATTTTTCGCAACAAAAATATTTGGTCACCTAAAAATAATTTTGTCTCTAAATTTTGGTCTTTAAAACCTTAATTTTTTGTAGTGTGACAAGTGTTTTTCCATTTTAATTATGCATTTTATAACTTATTTAAAAATGATAATTTAGCTAAACCTCAAGGGGAATCTGTAATTTAGCTAAACCTCAGGAGAGAATCTGTAATTTAACTAAACCTCAAGGGGGTATAGGTAATTTGTCCTTATTTGTCAAAAAGACATTTTAGTTAATTTATGATATCCCTTAACGCGCGTTAATTGCGATGGGCCGGGATGTAATTTTTTGAAACCTTAGGGGGGAATCTATAATTTCGTTAAACTTCAAGGGAGGTGTAGGTAATTTGCCCTTTTTATTATTGAAAAGGTAAAATTTTTATTAAAACATAAAATTAAAGAGATACGAAGTAATGAAATGTACAGAGAGATTCAAAGAATACGGAAACTGCCTTAGTATTGTTGTTCGTATCCACACAACTAACCCCTCCGTCTTACAAGATGGTTAAGACTTGAGTTGGTCTTCTTCATAAGCTTTGTTTGTTTTGACAGTAAATATTTGTTTTAAAAAGTTTTCTCAAAGGTAACATTTTAATTATGTATTGTTAGTAGTTGTGGAGCATTAGGGAGGTGGTGGTGGTGACAATAGTGATGTCATTGTTAAATGTCTAGTTCAAAATATGTTTTTCATATTAGGAAAAAAAAAAATTATGTTCAAATTAATTTATGTTTTTGTTAATTGTGAAAAATATTTTTGTTTTTTTGGTTGTACCGAGTACCAACAAATGACAGCCTACACAAATGGAGTAGACATTTTTTTTTCTACCTCATCTCTCTTTTGAAAATCTTGTGAGTGTTTGAAGATTTTTGTGTTATAAAATTATGATGTTGTTCGATTAGAATAAGATATACTACATCTCAAGTAAGAAGTAAAATGTGTACCGTTTTTCTTGAACAATTTTTGCATTGTTAATTTCGATTTTGTACCAAAATAATATTCCATCGACAACAATAAAATTTTCTTATTTTCTTCACTTGATTTTAGTGTTTTTGGATACACCAAATCAGAGATTTTCGTTGTTATTGTTAATTTCAATTTCATACCAAAACAATGTAAAATTGATGACAATAGTAAAATTTTCATATTTTCTCCTCTTAATCCAAGTGGGTGTTTGGAAAATGGGTTTTTATGTAGGTTTTTTTAGTTATAAGATATTATTGGAGAAAATTTTTTTTGTGTTTGGAAAGATAATTGTGTTTTTTTATGATTTGATGTGATGTTTGTAAGAAAAAAAATAAAATAATTATGGAGTTAGATGTGATATTTTGTTTAAATGTGTTTTTTTTAATTTTACAAAAAATTTGTCTTTTATTAAAAAAAACAAAAAAAAACTTAAACCCAAACTTCCCAAATCCGTGTTTTTGGCAAATCAAATTAGAGACTCTTTGTTATTGAGATCGTTACGAGTTGACTGATGTGAATCTTTGCAGCAAAAATAGTACAAACAAAACATAATTATAAATTGGAAGACTACTTTCCAAGCAAAAACAATTAGGACGTGATTGGAAACAGGCAAATCAACAAAACCCTAAAGTATTCGTATATGATTGAAATATGTTCCATCCTTATGTGTGGATAACATTACAAACCAGTTGAGTTTTTGAATGTTCAAACTCGTTTATTAAGATTTAGTTGAGTTTGAGTTTGAGCTGAACTCTAGTTGTGTTTCAAAAATCAAGTTTAAGCTCGGCTCGTCAAATATTTGTTGAACTTAAGCTCGACTCGAGCTCGCTTGATTATATAAAAGAGTCGAGTTCGAGCTTGGGTTGTTTGAAAAAAAAAATTAAATTAATTTACTTATTATGATAAAAAAAATATATACAAAATTATGAGTAAAATTTATAATAATACTTATATTAATAATAAATTTCATCAATCAAATATGTAAATTTACACAAATACCAAACATAAATAAAAAATAAAATAGATTACTGAAAATTTATTTATTTATTTTTATATTTACGAGCCTTATAAAGCTAAGCTTAGGACTACTCGAGCTCGATTAATAAATGAGCCTAAAAATTGAACTCGAGCTCATTCATTTAGTAAACGAGTTGAGTTCAAAAGAGTTTTAAATGAGCTGAGCTCGAACTGTTCATGAACAGTTTGATTCATTTGCAGCCCTATGTGTAGCCAACCCTTTTCACATGGTCCCTTCCAATTTAGAATTTTTTCCTTTTACATTTATTTTGAACTTTTTTGGTAATAAGTCCCTTAATTTCAAACTTTATTGCTAAAAGGACAAGCTAAAAACATTTAATTTATTAATGACAAAGTTCAAAATATTTTTAAAATATGACAATAATACTCTCAACTTTTATAATTTCTTACATTACCATAACCATCACCGACCATTGCCGACCACAATTGATCACCACGGCCAGTGATAATTTTTCGGTGACCACTGTCGGTCGCAGAAAATTTTTCAGTAAATATTTTCAGTGGTAGTAAAATTTTACTCTTTTAATTTGGACAGCAAAATTTTACTATTTACTTTAAATACATAAATAGCGAATTTTTTCCATTGTTATCACTAACAAACGCACTTACTGTAATTATTACCATTATTCATATAGATATAATGAGAAATCAGCCAAAACATTGAATTAATAACATTATCAGTAAAATTAGAGTAAAATTTTACTGTTTCGCTATTGAACATACTAAAATAACATTTTCATTTGAGATCTCAAAATCAATATTCAAGCTGATAATGACAAAAAAATGCACTAAAATGAAAATATATACATATAGAAAGAGAAAAAGATAAAGAAATAGAGAGATAGAGAGAGCACATATATTGCTTCAGGTTTAGTTCAAACCAGAGTATAATTTTACTGTCTGAAAAACAGAGCATCATGAGGAGACAAAGAGAATGAGAGGGAGAGAATATAGATCTGAGATGATAAATCTCAAATGAGGTCGTCAATCTCAGATCTGAAGTCTTGAAGGTGAAAGATGACGATTGTGGTTGTTGGTGTTACAGTGACATCAAATGTCGCCAGTGGTTGAGATGGTGGTGGTGACGAACGGTAGAGGTAGTGGAGACGGTGATGATGATGGTGAAGAGAGCTCTTAGAAAGAGATAGAGAGAAAAAAACATGCGTGTGTGTGTGTATGTGTGCGTGAGAGAGAGAGAGAGAGAGGAAAACGATAAAGAGAGAGAGAGAGAGTGTGTGTGTATGTGTGTGTGTGTGTGTGAAGGGGTAAATTTGTCACACAAAATATAAATCTGATATTTTTTTTCATGCTTACAAGATTTCTTTATTTTGAAGGAGTTTATGAATCAAAAAATTAGAATTCGTCATTTTCGAGAAAAACAGGCTCTATTAAGAAGTAAAGGCCGAAAATTCCCCCCAAAAGGGTAAATTATTAACAAGTCCTACTTTTGAGACTTATTACCCATTAAGCCCTATTGATAAATTTTTTTGATCAGCAAAAGAAGAAAATTTATTGATGATAATAATTTGATTACATCAATAAAGAAAATGATGAAAGAAAATGAGTGCAAAAAGTATCAAAGCGAACACAATGACCCCAACTAGGTTGGCACCCAAATGCACGCCCAACCATTTGCTAATACACCATCAAGTTGATGAGAAACCAATCACAGCCATAATGCAACCACAATACAACTAAGTACTCCAAGGAAGAACCCTTGTAACCTCAAAAAAGACCCCCTAACAAACTGAGCACACTGTATAAGCATAGCAACCAGCCATAGCAGAGTAGAAACAACTTTTCACAATAGAAAAAACAGACTATCGCAACAAAGATAGCAACAAAGACATAGCAGAATAGCAACAGAGGTAACAACAGAAAAAACAGACTATCACAACAGCTAGCCATAGCACAATAGTAGCAGAGGTAACATCCATTCAAACTTCAACAAGCACCTACCACCTCCAACCCTTAGAGGTTTTGTCTCACCCATTTTATTTTTGAAACAATCTCTTGAATGGAATAGAAACACCCCATATCATAAAACTTCAATCACATGGCCACTCTAATTTTTATTAACTCACACAAATCATCAATGGCAATTTGAGTATTGTTAAAGATACAATCATTTCTATATATCCACAATGACCAAACAACAGAAATAAGAACAGCTCCCTAAACTTTCTTTTCCTTTTTCCTAAACTACCACTCCAACCACTATTGCATCAAATCTTCAAAAGATCCTGATATCATCCATTGAATTCCCCACCAGGCCATGATGTTTGACCAAACATGCCACACAAATCAGCAAGACAAAAGGAGATGATTAAAAATTTCCACCCCTGCTTTGCACAACACGTAGGGCAAAATCCCATTACCTCTCAAAGCTCCAATTTTACTATAGAAGTGATAAATTTAACAAGTGCTAAATTTATCAGTCTCTCTTATTTTTATGAATAAATTTACAGTGATAAATTTATTAGTCAAAATCTATAGATAAATAAGTTTAATTAATAAGAATGATTGGTAAATAGCTGAAAAAAAAATCTCATACTTCTGGAAATACAAAACATATTTCCTTGTTGCTTTTCACCACCTCCACCTTGTTTAGGAACACTTGGCACTTTGTTATAGTAGTTGCCAGACGACTTTTTAGGTTTATTTAAAAGATAGACAATAGTTTTACCCGAGCATGTTTGTGATTAGTGTAAGAATTTATGTATTATTGATTGATATGGATTACAAGATTGTTGTCTATATTGATCAATAATACATAAATTCTTACATGGTATCAGAGCAAGGTTAAGACCTTAGTATTTCTCGCTTCACCGGCGGGCGGCAACCTCGCCTTGGCCGCCCGCCGGACCTCAACCTAGTCCGCTAGAATCTTCGCCATCACCTTCCTCACCATGGCAGCAGCTTCCCTCTTTCTCCATTTACTCGACGAGCTGAGTTTTGCTTCCGTGCATTGGGATAAGATGGCTGATTACCCACACCTGCGGCACCTCTATCGGGAGTCTCATCGCCTCGAGGCTTCAATCTTGATCTTCCAGGAGTGCCGTGGCTACCATCATACGAGTTCTTTCCTTCCCAGGAAGGAGATGCACTACCTTTTCCCACGATCTGTGCTTGATGATGCGGATGAAGTGGTGACCGTTCTATGCTATGTTCAGATCCAACACTTTGTCTTACAGGTTGGCCAGAACTTGATCCACGCCCTCCATGACGTTGATGTGCTGACTCCCCAGAAACTCTCCTGCCCATATTGTCATTACGTGCGGGGGATCCAGTGAACTGCCCAAGGTCACCATTTTCCTTGCTTACTTGATGCTCATGTGCAGTCCATCGCCATGTCCGCCGGACCTCATGGTCCCACCCAGCAACTACCTCTCCGTCATCTTCAACATCGTTCAAATGCAATGGCTCAGCAACATCTACCTCTGTTTCTTCAGACTTCACATTCTCGCACACCACGTGCGTATTGGCCATTGTTGTGTCGTTGTTGTTTAGTTACACTTTTTTTCCTCCACCATGCCGAATGCACAGCCCTACTCCTTTCTTAGAGTCCTCTCCTTTTCTCTCTCTCTCTCCTATCACCGGCACATAGCCCTATACCAATCCATTATAATATCTTTACCTCCACTATCCTAGTCCACCGAGCACAAACATCAACCCCATCACAATCATTTTTTTTTTTGTTTTATTCCTTTATCCTTATCATTAACAGCCCCCCTTGTTTAAAAAATGATGTAATATTATTTATTGATATTGATTAATTATTGTAGTGTTTACATTGATTCCTATATATAGGAGGTGTGAAGTGGAGATGGTGGTGGTAGGTGAGGAGTAGGTGAGTGTAGTAGGTGAGTGTGTGGTAGGTGATGGTAAATTATACAATGTACATTAACAATTAGGATGTTCTCTTCAAGCTTATTCTTGCAATCCTCCCTAGAAACGAAAGCATCCGTCACCTTTCATGGTAATTAGACCACAAATTTTGATATGTACACTCCACCTAATCACTAAGATAGAACATCTTGGAGAGAGTAACAAAACAGAAAAAAATAAACTGATAAATAAAATTAAAAAAATGGGATAGGAGACACTGTATGGTTGTGTCAGACCGTTGTAGCAGACAGTTTACGGGGTCATGTCGGACCGTGTAGCAGACACTGTGTGGTCGTGTCAGACCGATGTAGAAGACAGTTTACGGGGTCATGTCGGACCGTTGTAGCAGGACAGTTGACGGGGTCATGTCGGACCGTTGTAGAAGACAGTTTACGGGGTCATGTCGGACCTGATGTAGCAGACACTGTGTGGTCGTGTCAGACCGATGTAGAAGACAGTTTACGGGGTCATGTCGGACCGTTGTAAAAGCTGCACCCTCAAAAGGTGTGCCCAATTTGTCAAAAGGCGTGCCATCAAAAGGCGTGCCCACTTTATCAAAAGATGTGCTATGAAAAGGCGTGCCAGTGTGTCGGGCGTCAAGAGGCGCGCGATGCGCGTGGCTGGCCCTGGCTATTTAAACAAGACGAAGGCAGATGCTGAGGCAGAGACGGAGACAAAAAAACTCTGTAACACGCTGTTTTCTGAGAGAGATTGCTGAGGGAGATACGTGGTAACACTCTGTTTTCTGAGAGAGAACTCTGTAACACTCTGGTGCCCAGAAAAATGGCTTCATCTTCCTCTTCTTCCCGTGGTCTGCTTACTCTCTTTCCCGAACTGAACGAGTCAACGAGAGAGAGAACTGGTGCGGTGGCACTGGAAACTCAACCAAGCGCCCCGGAGTTTACTCCGTTGAACTTTCCGATGCGGTCGGTGGAGCAAAGAATGGCAGTGCTGTCAGATGTGGAGGCCAACCAGTATACTTTGAAGGCATGCGTGGAAAGCATGACGGCGGTCACAAACTTGTCGAACCGGCTGCAGAGTAGGACAAATGAGGTGCAGCATGGTGGTGGTGTAGACGGTGGTGGTGGTGGTGGTGGTGGAGAGAGCTCTTACAAAGAGATAGAGAAAGAAAGAGCTGTGAGAGAGAGATGACAAACTGATGAAGAGAAAAAGGAGAAAGATAGAGAGTGTGTGTGTGTGTGTGTGAAGGGGTAAATTTGTCACACAAAATATAAATCTGATATTTTTTTTCATGCTTACAAGATTTCTTTATTTTGAAGGAGTTTATGAATCAAAAAATTAGAATTCGTCATTTTCGAGAAAAACAGGCTCTATTAAGAAGTAAAGGCCGAAAATTCCCCCCAAAAGGGTAAATTATTAACAAGTCCTACTTTTGAGACTTATTACCCATTAAGCCCTATTGATAAATTTTTTTGATCAGCAAAAGAAGAAAATTTATTGATGATAATAATTTGATTACATCAACAAAGAAAATGATGAAAGAAAATGAGTGCAAAAAGTATCAAAGCGAACACAATGACCCCAACTAGGTTGGCACCCAAATGCACGCCCAACCATTTGCTAATACACCATCAAGTTGATGAGAAACCAATCACAGCCATAATGCAACCACAATACAACTAAGTACTCCAAGGAAGAACCCTTGTAACCTCAAAAAAGACCCCCTAACAAACTGAGCACACTGTATAAGCATAGCAACCAGCCATAGCAGAGTAGAAACAACTTTTCACAATAGAAAAAACAGACTATCGCAACAAAGATAGCAACAAAGACATAGCAGAATAGCAACAGAGGTAACAACAGAAAAAACAGACTATCACAACAGCTAGCCATAGCACAATAGTAGCAGAGGTAACATCCATTCAAACTTCAACAAGCACCTACCACCTCCAACCCTTAGAGGTTTTGTCTCACCCATTTTATTTTTGAGACAATCTCTTGAATGGAATAGAAACACCCCATATCATAAAACTTCAATCACATGGCCACTCTAATTTTTATTAACTCACACAAATCATCAATGGCAATTTGAGTATTGTTAAAGATACAATCATTTCTATATATCCACAATGACCAAACAACAGAAATAAGAACAGCTCCCTAAACTTTCTTTTCCTTTTTCCTAAACTACCACTCCAACCACTATTGCATCAAATCTTCAAAAGATCCTGATATCATCCATTGAATTCCCCACCAGGCCATGATGTTTGACCAAACATGCCACACAAATCAGCAAGACAAAAGGAGATGATTAAAAATTTCCACCCCAGCTTTGCACAACACGTAGGGCAAAATCCCATTACCTCTCAAAGCTCCAATTTTACTATAGAAGTGATAAATTTAACAAGTGTTAAATTTATCAGTCTCTCTTATTTTTATGAATAAATTTACAGTGATAAATTTATTAGTCAAAATCTATAGATAAATAAGTTTAATTAATAAGAATGATTGGTAAATAGCTGAAAAAAAAATCTCATACTTCTGGAAATACAAAACATATTTCCTTGTTGCTTTTCACCACCTCCACCTTGTTTAGGAACACTTGGCACTTTGTTATAGTAGTTGCCAGACGACTTTAGGTTTATTTAAAAGATAGACAATAGTTTTACCCGAGCATGTTTGTGATTAGGATGTTCTCTTCAAGCTTATTCTTGCAATCCTCCCTAGAAACGAAAGCATCCGTCACCTTTCATGGTAATTAGACCACAAATTTTGATATGTACACTCCACCTAATCACTAAGATAGAACATCTTGCACATCCCAATCCACCCTACTTTTGTTTTCTTTGTCGGTTTCGTCACTCACACCACGTGGTGCTTCCTCTATTTTGATTGACATGATATTAGAACTTTAAAATTATTAGAATTTGGAGTTAAAACACTTATAAATGCAAGGAAATGGATTGAGAAATTGGTATTTTTAAATCCTGCTGGTAAATTATCAACTTTTAACTTATAAAATGCTTTTCCAAACAGGTCCGTGTTGCTTTTAGTTTAAGCCAAATCTATTATGAAATATAGAACTTCATCTAATCATTTGCATAACTAAGTTGACTCTTTACAAAACTTCATTTAATTAATTTGGCTTCTTCTAATTGAGGCTAGAATTAAGATAATTTCTTTTATTTATAGAAGTGTTATTGGAAAATCAATGTTGTTAGGAACCATATTTCTCACATCCTGGAGCTTTATTTTGCATTTGATGAATTGGGGTTGAGTCTAAAAATTGTGTATGAACTATGAAGGCAATGCAACGCGTGCCTTCATGACCGGCTTCCATTAAACTGGGTGACAAATCCCCCTTTGGCTCTATTAGATTTGCTTAGTTTCTCTGAGTAGGGGCTGGTTCTTTCCCTTGTTCTTCCAAATTTCTCTGATAAAAAAAAGAAAAAAGAAAAAAAAGAAAGCACTATGAAGGCAATGGATGGGAAATAATTAGTAGTAGTAGAATACATGATGATGTACTAGCCCATGATACATGTATGCACATTTATTTGGCTAAAGTTATAATAAGAGATGTGAAAAGTCGACACAAAAAGGCCTAGGGATAAGCATGGTTCGGATTGAACTGGATTGGGACAAAAGTAGGACCAATCCATTAGCTATGATTCCTAAAAAATTGAAACCAATTCAATCCGTTTAAATCGTGGAACCAATCCGAATTAATCCATTTAAACACAGATTTGATCGGTTTAGTATCACGGACTCACATAATTAAATAACAAAAAAATATAGAACATTTTAATTTCATAAAAATATAAATATAGCATCATATTAGTTCCACAATAATAGCATGCCTTTCCATAATAGCGACATATTGTTCTAGAATTTAAACAACCATAAGAAAATTGATTCCATTATAAGTATTTAGACTATTACAGATTAAAACTAAAAACTAACAAACAAAAACAATAAAAGAATATACTATACAAGCTTAGGTTTTATATAGAATAAAAGAAGATACTATGCGGGCGGGTATATAATATAAATATAGACTATTTGCATACAGTCCCAATCGGTTCTAATCCGGAACCATTGGGTTCAATCCGGAACCGATCCGTAGACTATGAATTTTTAATTTTTCAATCCGAAATCGAACTACAGATTCAAAAAAACAATCCAAACTTAGATTACAAATTTCACAAATTTTTTATTCAGTCCTAAAAAAACCAACAGTAACAAGGCAGAATCCAAACACTACCTCCAAAACTGCCTTACTTTTAGAGTGATGATGACATCATAAAATTCCTCTACCACTGCACATATTACTCGTATGTCGGCTTAGACAAGTGAATGAATAGAAAATAGAGTATGAAAAAAACAGTATGTTGGTACAAGAAATCTTATCCAAACACATTAACTATCAAATAAGGTTAATTTAGTTGGTCAAAATTATCGTATTTTATTAAAAAAATAAATAGTTCAAATTTTATCATAGGCAAGATTTCATTTTTTTATTTTTTTGATAACTCAGGGTGTCCGGACCAACTTGCGCGTACCTCAACTAATATCAATCTCACCGTCCATTAACGGGGGCACATTTAAAGTTAGAGCAAAACTCTGTATGGATAGATAAAACTTCATGTTTTCCTAGCATAATAAAAGAAAGGAAAAAAAAAAGTTCAAAGCATATGAATTTTTTTTTAACAAAGAAACCTTTTCAAAATTGTGGTTTTAAGTGATAAAACACTAATGAGCTCTTCAGTGTTTGAAAGGGACAACAATACATACATATCCATCAAATGATTACAAATCACTGCAATACATTATTGATAGTGGTGCACCACACGAAAATAATTTAATACTAATAGTATAGGATTCTACAGATATACAACTTTTTTCATTCTCACCTTTCACTTGGTCAAAAATAAATAAATAAATAAACTAAACTAACTTGTAAAAATTGAGAGTCATATATATATATATTAATGTTTTACTTTTTGAAAAACATTTAAAAAAAACTTATTTGGCCAATTGTTTAAAAAAAAAAATTGAATTTTTTTCTTCTAAAAACAACCCTTTTTAAAAATCCTAAAAAGTTATTTTTTGAATACAAAAGAAAAAAAAATTAAGAAAAACCTTCAATATTTGAAAAATATTTTCACACAAACATAAAAAAGATAAGTTTTTTATTCAAACTTTCCATCATTTTTGTTTTTGAAAAAATAGAAAACAAAAAAACAGAAAAAAAACCGAAAACACAACCAACCAATAGATTAATCAAGTTTGGGTGTAATCTAACTGTACGGTTAGGATAATCCCTTGTATATAAAGAGCATTGGGTAGGAGGTGGGGTGTGGCAACTAGCTCATTTTAGAAAGATTCACTCTTATTGCAAAAGATATATATATATATATATATATGATGGATGACAAGATGGGGAACAAGGTTGTGATAAGGGAATTCAATGAAGACAAAGATGTTGAAGTGGTGATGAAGCTTGAGAAGAACTGTGATCAAGCCGGCTCTCAGAATGGGATCTCCACAATCACTAACACAAAGGGTGATCCCTTGAGTAGGGTTAGGTTCTACCATGTTCATGTTATGCTGGTGGGTATTTTCAGTTTTGATACAACCAAACATGTCTTGTTTCTCCATGCATGATTCCAAGAAATTCCACTGTTTGGTTTAGTTTTTTGAATTTATTTTAAAAAATACTAAAACTAGTTTAGCAAAAGAAATGCCAAATTAGTTTGAAAATGATACGAAAACGATGAAAATTCCGTTCGATTTCATCAAACTAGTTTTTAATTTTTTTTGGAATGTTTTTCACAAAGTAGATTTTGAAAACTAAACCAAACATAAATGACTAGTTTTGGCGACAATGTCAAAATTTAGAAGCTAGGTACAGACATACATTAATAAGAATGGTTGAGCAGGAAATGCATCATTGCTGGAGAACGTCATCCCAGCAAGGCTGGCACATGCTCCAAGCCAATCCTATGCAATGTTGCTCAAATTAAGAAAAAAAGAGAGTACACTTTCGACAATAGATAAATCATTTTTGTTGCAAAAAACGCAGGCAAAGACTTTTGCTGACGCATTTTTTAAGAAACAAGTTGTTGTTGTTGTTGTTGTTGTTGTAGTGATGCTAGGTAATCCTCGTCCCCTCGATATAGTTCACAAATAATGCATATATCTATATGTGTGTGTGTGTGTGTGTGTGTGGGTGTGAATTATGAGAACACTAAAACTATGGAGTGCACATACAGGTTGCTGAGCTGCACAAAAATGGAGAGCTTGTTGGAATGGTTAGAGGATGCATCAAGTATGTGGCGACTAGATTTTGGGGAGGACATGTCAAGTTGGGCTGCATACTGGGCCTTCGGGTCTCTCCTAGACACCGGTACTCTCTCTCTCTCTCTCCCTCTCTCCAAGTGATGGAGTTTCACCATGATTGAAACAAGGTGATTTACATGAGTAAAATCATGAAGGCGATATGGAAGTTCTGTCTCAAATACCAAAGAATGCAAATTTGATGTTTGGGAAATTTGAATTCATATGTAAGGTAAAAGATGTCAAACAGAATAATTTGATATATGATTAGTGTAAAAGGTATAAATCATGATATATAAAGCAAAAAAATTATATAAAATGCGACATATTCATATATATATATTTATTTCAAACCAAAAATAATGTCATATTATTTTAAAAAATCACTCTCATATCATTATGTGAGATGTTTTATATAAGTTTTATAATTTTTTTCTTATTCATATGAATTGTTTTTATCAGTGAGATCGATTTCAAATACTAAAGTTCCATTATTGTACATTATATATGTGAGTAAAAAAAGTTTGCATTACATTTGTCTTTTTCATCACATGTAATTAACTACTTTAACTACTTTAATCACTTTATTTTATATTAATATGAAAAAAAAAATGTTTTAGAGATTCAAATTTTTTTTTTTCTTCTCATTAAATCATTATTCTTTGATTCTTCATATGAAGCATGTATATGATTTTTTATTTTATTTTATGTAGGAGGATGGGAATTGGATTAAAACTTGTCCAATCAATTGAAGAATGGATGATGAGAAATGGTGCAGAATACACTTTCCTAGCCACTGAGGAGAAAAATTTAGCCTCAAGAAACCTCTTCGCTCTGAGATGCAACTACATAAAATCTAGCTCACTAGTTATCTATCTTCAACCAGCTAGTTTGCTGCCCAAAAACCGACCTCATGATCATCAAGACATAAAAATAGAGAAATTGTCCATAGACCAAGCCATTCTCATCTACAAGAACCATCTCCCATCCAAAGAAATTTATCCCACCGACATCGACACAATCCTCAAGGAAAAACTCAGCCTTGGAACGTGGGTATCTTACCCACATTCTGAGGACTGGGATATTAGTTTGAATGGAAAAGAGATGAATGAGGACACCAAAAATACTAAAACTAACCCAAGCTCTTGGGCTATCTTTAGCATATGGAACACATGTGAGGCTCATAAGCGTCAAATGAGAAGGGCAAATGAGTCTTTTCATGCAACACTAAGCCATGCAAGAGACAAAATGTTCCCTTGCCTTAAGATGCCAAGGTGTGAGTCATCACTTGACAAGCCCTTTGGGTTTCTCTTCTTGTATGGGCTTCACGGAAAGGGAGAGAGGCTTGGGGAGATTATGGAGTCTATATGGGGTTTTGCTTCAAGACTAGCTGAGAATGTGAGGGACTGCAGGGAAATAATGGTTGAGTTAGGGGTCTCTGATCCAATGAGAGAGGTTGTTCCCCAAGGCTCTACGATGTCATGCATCAATGATCTTTGGTACTTGAAGAGAGTGAATGGGCTCACTCATGATGATCATGATTTGACCTCTAACGGACCTTTTGGGAATGTGTTTGTTGATCCAAGAGATTTATAGGGTTTACCACAAATTTCAGTGTCGAATGTTGATGTTACCTCAAAACCCTTATTGGGCTGGTGCAATTAAGAACATTGTCATTGCAAATTTCACTCTCTATGGCACGTATGGTTCTTGAATTTTTTTAGAACATAATGCAATGTGTCTGATGATCAAGTACCCATGCATGCTTTCTAATCTCATACCATGTTGAGGTAATAATAAACTATAAATTAAATTAGTTGTAACGAAATTCATATGGATTTGGGCTCACCTCTCATTTTTTTTTCTTTTCATTGGGGGTAATAATATTTATTATCTATCATTAAATACTTCTGACTTTTTATTTTGAAGTACTTATACTCGCAATTTTTAAATCAGGTGAATTTCAAATTACAAAAATCTTGAAACATAATCTATGACTCTGAGTATTTTGAGACATGAAGACAAAATAATTTAAAACAGAAAATGATGAGTACTTCCATGACTTTATAGAGGGGGAATAGCAATGACCCTTATATAGTAAGCATCCATGGAGTACATGAAGAGTAATTATTTCATCTTAATGAGTCCAAAAGGGGGCACATCCAAGCATGTGTCACTGATAAGTGTGATTCAGTTATTGTACAAAGATTGGTCCTTGTTAATGCTGTTCAACTAATATTTTGTGTACCTATGTGTCGAATGTTTTTGTGGTTGAAAATCTAAGAAGATCAAGCTTTTTCCGGACATGGAATTTCATTGGTACTGTTAATGATGCCTAAGCCTTACCAAATATAAACTATTTTATTGCGGACAACAATGTGAGGTTGGCATTGACCCTCCTTAATTAAGCACAGCAACTCTTTTGGTTAGACTCTAATAATGTTTCTCTCAGTCGAGCAAATCATGATCTTATGTCATTATTTTTTTTGTCATTTCAACATTTATATCGATAATGTAACTCATGTTTACAAAAATGAAATATCAGAAAGTTCAATTATATCCACCACTTTTATATTTATGTAAAAGCGAAAATTAAAATGTTAGAAACAATGAGTGTTTTTAAAAAATAGGGTGCCAAATGCTCTACTTGAAGTGATGGGAGACAAGGGAAGGAGAAATGAAAAGTCCCAATGCTCTACACCTGGAAAGGCTGTTGAAGAGAAGTTATTTGGAAATAGAATATTAGTAATTTTTTAACTTTTTATAAAAAAATGTAAAAAAAAAATAAAAGAGATGATACGATTTAAAAAAAATTAAAAGATAATAATTATGTTACTTTAGTACTGGCATTTTACCAAGAATAGAAGAAGATAAAAGTTTGAGGAGTATGTTTGCACTACAAGAAAATATATTTTTGGCTACCATTTTTGGCTACCAAAAACAATTTAGTCGCCAAAAGTTACGGAATTGGCTACCAAAAATAATATTAGTTGGCAAAGTCAACTTTTTAGTTACTAATTTTTTTTAGTAGGGGAATGTTGATTATTGGCGACTAAAAAAAATTTAGTGGCTAAAAATATTATAATTGGTGACTAAAAATTTTTTTAGTAGCTAAACATATAACAATTGGTGACTAAAAGAAATTTTAGTAGCCGTAGAGGTACCTTTAGCTACTAAATTGTTTAGTAGCCGAATGAAAATAAAAAAAATTATTTTTGATCTTTGGCGACCAAAATTTTGGTCGCCAAAAATATATTTTCACCGACAAAATTCATTTTTAGTCACTGTAGACCTACCTTTTGCTACTAAATTTTTGGTAGGCGAATGAAAATAAAAAAATTATTTTTGATCTTTGGTAACCAAAATTTTGGTCGCTAAAAATATATTTTCACCGACAAAATTCATTTTTAGTCGCTATAGACCTACCTTTAGCTACTAAATTGTTTGGTAGGTGAATGAAAATAAAAATATTATTTTTGATATTTGGCGACCAAATTTTCACCGACAAAATTCATTTTTAGTCACTGTAGATCTACTTTTGGCTACTAAATTGTTTGGTAGGCGAATGAAAATAAAAAAATTATTTTTGATCTTTGGCGACCAAACAAAAATATATTTTCACCGACAAAATTCATTTTTAGTCGTTGTACACCTACTTTTGGCTACTAAAGTTTTTGGTAGTCGAATGAAAATAAATTTTTTTTTGATCTTTGGTGACCAAATCATATTTTAGTCGCCAAAGATGATTAAACAAAATAGTTATTTTATTTTATTAACAACAATACCATTAGTCTCCACTTGAAAATTTGACTAAACAAAATAGTTATTTTATTTTATTTAGTAATTTGTCCTTTAGTAATTTTATTTTAAAATTTTTTATTTTTTCAATTCATTTTATCAAGCCGAATCTAAGAAATATATATGTTTTAAAAAATTTTAAAAATTCAAAATTCAAAATAAGCAACAAATATTTACTATTTTTTTGTTAATTTTTATCTTTATTGAATTTTTTTTGAAATTTTAGAAAAAAATTATAATTTTTTGATTTGTTTTGTCGAATGAAAACGAAAAATAAAAAAAATATGTTTTTACCTTTGGTGACCAAAATTTTAGTAGCCAAAAGTTTATTTTCAGCGACAAAATTGAATTTTAGTCACCAAAGATGTAAAATGTTTTGGAGGGAGACCTTTCAAATATTTAGAGGGATTTATAAAATATCTTTAGCGACAAAAAGGTTTAGTCGCCAATATCCATTTATAGAAATTATCTCATGCTCTCACCAAACCAATTAATAGCGCCTCTCTCTCTCTCTCTCTCTTTAGCGTCCTTCTCCCTCACCGTCGCTTCTCTCCCCTCCACTCTCACCGCCATTTTCTTTTCTTGATCAGTGTGTTTAGAATTGCAGAGAAGCTTCGATTTCGAGTAAAATGGCGATGGTAGTGGCACATTAGCACAGAGAGAGTAGCAGTGATAGCATGAACAGGCATCTCGATGCCGGAAAATATGTCTGGTACACTGGCGAGCAAGTGGAAGCCCTCGAAAGGGTTTATGTCGAGTGTCCGAAGCCGAGCTCTTTGCATCGACAGCAATTGATCCGCGACTGTCCCATTTTGTCTAACATCGAACCCAAGCAGATCAAAGTCTGGTTTCAAAATCGCAGGTAAAGAAAAGGCCTTGATGCAAAACTTTGGTTATTTAACTGAATTTCTTGGAATTTTTGTTTAAATGTGTAGATTTTGATTGCAATTCTGCTTATTTGTAAATAAATTAATCTGTGTAATTGAATGTAAATTGGGTTCTTAGGTTGGATTTGAAACGATTTTTTAAAGTTTCTTTTGGCCTATGCAGGTGTCAAGAGAAGCAACGAAAAGAGGCTTCTCGGCTGCAGACTGTGAACAGGAAAATGACAGCGATGAACAAGCTGTTGATGGAGGAGAATGATCGGTTGTAGAAACAGGTGTCACAGTTGGTATGCGAGAATGGTTTTATGCGGTAACAACTGCACACTGTATGTTAATTTATCTCTTACCTTATTGTTGCTATTGCTATATATTTATGGATCGACTTCTATTTCTTGTTATCTGTCTTTATTGGATGCATTTACTTTCGAAAAGAATCAAAGGGTTAATATTTGTTATATTTGTAGAATGATAATATAATTTCCAGTTTTGGGAACCCCAACTTTACGGGTTCTTCCAGAAGTTGTGAACAACTAGCAACTAGGACCAGTCTGTGGGGTTGTGCATTTTGTTTATTTTGTGATCTTTTTCTTCTTGCTTCTATGTGTTTCAGATGCCTATTATATCTATTTTATGTCTCATATTGGATGTCCAAACATATTTGTTCAATGCTCTGCATAGATAGCCTGTGAAATTGGTAGCTTGTTCAGTTTTATACTTTGAAAGGAATTATATTTAACTGTTCTACAATATAATAAAAGTCTAGGAATTATATTGAACTGCTCTAAAAAACAACAAAAGTAAAGTTTCCTTATGACATTTTCATGTTTTGGCTTAGATACCTATGTTCAATGAATGTCCTGCAGGCGTCGGCAACTACTGATGCAAGCTGTGAGTCTATGGTAACCACTACTCAGCATTCTATGAGAGATGCTAATAATCCTGCTGGGTAACCCTCCAACATCAATGACATCACCCGCTCCTCTCTGCAATTCTAAACACATTTGAATAGAAATAAGAATTCTGTTTTATGGAAAATGGTTGCAATTGTATTGGTTAGGTTATTTTCACACATTTTTAAGGTTTTTAAAATTCAGGAAATGTGCCTGTAAAATTCTGTGAACATGTTTTTGGGGAAAATTAGTCTATTCATGAAATTTTTATGTTATCAGTGGTCCCAGAACAATGTAATTTATGTTAATACCCGCTTTGTTGCTGCTACAAAATGATTTGGTAATTCAATTTTTAAGGGCAAGTGCACTGTTGCAATTGCTGATTTTTCAATGCTATATGGTTATGTGAAAATGTTTTATAAAGATTAGTTTATAATTATTAGCTAGCTGGTGGAGTCATTTGCATTGGAGTTGGAGACTTGAATACTTGAATTATTTTTTTTGGTAGTTTTTAATTCTGTAATATTTTAATTAATTTTTTTTTTTTAAGATGGCATATTCTGGTGCTGTATAACCCCTGTTGCATGAGAAAGTAGTTAGTTATCATTCAATGGTTTCAAATATTGTACTAGAAGTACTAGAGTTGTTACATGAAAACATATCACTGGTTTAATTTCAATTAGGAATCAAAATAGCCTCTAATACAATCCATTCTTAATTGTTGCATAAATGTGGGTTGAATACTTTCACACAACAGGTAAACTGAAAGAGATGAAGGTAAAAAATGAATAAGTGCTGTCAAAGGAAGAGCCACAAGTAGAGAAGGCTGGTGCAGTTGATCAAATTAAGAAAAAATATGGATTTACTATGTTTGGTGTAAGTATGCATCCAATAGATTTATGTCTAATCATCTGTTGTGCACTCCATCACTGAACATTTTGTTTGAGTTGGTTAATTAGTTATATATTTGAATGGGTCTAATACTGATCTGAACATTCAAAATCTGACCAAGACATCACCTTTTGTTTTGAACATTTAAAAAAAAGAATTACGGTGAATAATTTTGGTCATGATTGTGGAAATGTGAGCCATATTGATTGTCATAATGTTTAAGATGGTTGTAATGCATTGTGCTGGAATTTTTGTGAGCCATGTTTAAGATGTGAGCCATATGAAAGGACTGGAATTTTTATTGGATATAAGATAAGATCCACTACTTTTAAGCTTTATATTTAGGTTTAATTTCATATACAATGTTCCAGTAGGAGGCATTATTTCCATCTTTGGGTGCAGGATTCTAGTGCTGCAAAGAAGGCACAAAGCAAATTGGGCGAAAATGTGAAGAAGTTGCAGGTATCCATGAACATTTTAAGTTTCAAATTCCTACATCTTGACAAGTGAAACAATTAATAATGCTTCCGCTGATTGGGAAATACTTGAGGTGTTTTGGGTTATCATGCATGCCTCGAGAATGAGCTGCCAATTGCCATGCATTTGTCACATTAAGATACAAATGCATTAAGGGTATTTTTTGTTTGTCTAATGATATTTTATACAAGTATGTTTATATATCATGCATGCCCTGAGAATGAACTGTCAATTGCCTGTTTTGTCAGCACATCCACACATCCACTAGCTTCTCTATGGCATTTTGCTTAACTATTGTAGTTGCTAAATGTGCCATTGACCGGTTTTTTGTGGTGCTCTTGGAAGAAGTTACAAAGTTGGACAAACATGAATGATCATACAATTTATGACAAGTGAGAGTGATTATGGTTTATTTTATTTCAAATTGTATGATTGGAAAATGGGATGTAGTTTTTTTTTTTTTTAATTCCACGATGCATCATCTGGTGACACTGATCATTCCACTCTTTAATAGGAAAAAATATTTCCCTTTTTAAAAATGACCAATGCTTGATGATCTTTTTGTTTTCTTTATTTGCAGGTTTAGACTCTCAATATATAGGAATTGGGTTAAAATTTTATATTAAACTTGTTTGGCTGTAAAATTGAAACAACTTGAAATCTACAAAAAAAAAAATTTCTTGATGAAATTGGTTTCTCACTTCTAGAAGAGAGAACTCTTTTCTTTTTATTACAAAAATCTGAGGTTGAAGCATCAATAGGTTTAGTACCGCTATTGCATTTGAGGCTGAAGATGTCAACTAAGCAGTGTCTGCTGCTCGCAAAGCATTCGACCAAGGACCATGGCCAAAGATGACTGCTTATGTAAGAATATCACACATTGATCATTTGCTTTGTACTTTCAAGAAAGATCACGAATAATGTTGCGGTTTGCTGATTTGCTTGAGAAGCACAGTGATCATATTGCGGCTCTTGAAACTTGGGATAATGGGAAGCCTTATGAACAGGCTGCAAATGAAGAAATACCATTGGTGTGGTAAATATAAGCTAATTTGGTATGGTAGAATTCAGTATATATGCTAATTTAGGTTGTTGTACATATGTCCTTTTTGTTAATTAATAAGGTTAGTCCTATATTATGTATGAAATGAAATTATTGACGTTGGATTAGACTTGGTTCGTATGGAATTTGTATTATATATAGAATTGGACGTTCAATATTAATGTTTTGGATGGTTTGAGCTAAAATGTGTGCACATTGTTGAATGCTTGATAACATATTTAGTGTTGATGGATTATATTGTTTATACAGGGTACAGGTTGTATTCATAATGGATACAGGTTGTTTAGAAATTTTTTTTTTTTTAAAAAAAAAAAACACGTTAAAGCATTTGGCTACCAAATATTTTGGTAGCCAAATACGCAATCAAATGTTTTGGTGACTAATAATTTAGTAGCAAAACATAACCCAAAAAGTTTTGGCGACAAAATAATTAGTAGCTAAAACAATTGAGAATGAGAGGAAGAAACTATTGGCCACTAAATTTTTAGTCACGGAATGCACCTTTTGCCAACTAAATAATGTTTCGTAGCCAAACGTGTACTTTCGGCGACTAATTATTTAGTAACTAAAGGTGACACCTTCCCCAACCACAACAACTTAATAGCCAAAAAGCCTCATTTGGCGACTAAAGTTTTAGTGGCGGAAACATAACATTTGCCGACTAAACATAATTTAGTAGCGAAATGTAGTCACTTTCGGTGACCAAACAACATTTAGTCACCAATACTATCGCCGACAGGGTATAGGCGACGAGTTTGGCGACAAAATATTTTAGTCGCCAAATGGTTTCGGCGACTAAATATTGGACTTTTGGCGACTAATATTTTGATAGCCAAAAGTGACATTTCTTGTAGTGTTGGCATTGTATTTTTTTATATTTGTTTGTGTTTTAAAAAGTAAAGGCTTTGTTTGGTTTGATTTTGGGAGATAAGTTTTGAAAAAATATTTTGGGAAGAGAGTTTAGAAATTTTTGCAGTTTGTTTGATTGTATATTTTGAAAATAGTTTTGGAATTTGGGATGATTTTATATTTTGTTTTAATTGAATAGATGTATGTGAGGTCCTGTTTGTTTTGGGATTAAATAGATGGGAGAGGATTAGGATGGAGGTGGGGTTATTTAGTGTTGTGTTTGTTTGTAGAGTTGGGAGGAGATTAGGATGGAGGAGGTGATATAGATGGAAGTTGGAAGGGGGATTGAGATGGAGGAGGTGGAGAGGGTATTAGAAAAATAGTGAGGGGATTAGAAATTTTTTTATATTTTATATTTTTTATATATTGGGAATTTTTTTAAAAAATATTAATGTTTAATTTTTTTTATTTTTTTATTATTTTATATAAAAATAATTTAACAATTCCTACACTAACAATTATCATCAAAACAAACACAATTTTACGTAATCCCCTCACTATCAATCCTCTCACTAACAATCCCCTCACTATTAATCGTATCACTATGAATCCCCTCCATTCTACCTCAGAAAACAAACGGAGCCAGAGAAAAAGTGATTGAAAAGGAAAGAGGAGAGAGAAAATAATTGAATGATGTGTAGAAGAGAGGAAGTGATTTTGAAAATTTTTTGAAAAAAATTACAAACCAAACAAAATTTTCAAACATTTTCTCCAAAATCTTTTCCAAAGCCAAACCAAACAAGGCCAAAATTTAATGAAAATTTTAAAAATATTCATTGTTTTCATTTTTGTTTTTCATGTTTTTGGATTTAAATTAATAAAAATTTTGAAAACACCATCCATTTTCATTTGTTTGTAAAATTACTTTCGCAAAAAGGGTCTCTGAAAATTCAGCTTTGTAGATGGCTTTACTCAGTTTTATTACGTAGCCTGAATGCACAGAGGCTCGACTGCCCCGAAAATTCAAACGACGTCGTTTATTTATTTATTTATTTTTCCTTTTCTTCTTCCTTCAGTCTCTTCTTCCTTCCCCCTCTCTGTTGTGCTGCTCTGGAGCTCACTCAAAACTCAACAAACAAACAAACTCAAAAAAAAATCAAAAATCAAACCGACACAGCAACAGCAACAGACAAACCCAAATCAAAAATCAAAACTCAAAAATTCTCACAAATCACCAAATCTACACAAATCAAAAAAATCAAAATCAAAATAAAAAAAAAAAATTTTGAGGGAAAAAGAGAAGAACAAAGAAAGAAGGAGAGGCGAGAGAGAAAGGAAGATCAGATCAAAAGAAGAAGAAGTCTTCAGATCAGATCAGATCCAAAAATAAATAAAAAAATCAACATCTTCATCAACACACGATCTTCATCCTCCGCCATCACCATCACCATCACCGTGTTCTTCTCTTCCTCCTCTTTCTCCCTATCTTTTCTCTGTATTCTCTCTTCCTCATCTCTTCTCTTCTCTCCTTTCTCTCTCGCCTGTGTCTGTCTCTATTCAAACAAGAAAAGGAAGTAAAAGGAAAAAAAAGCAAGAAAATGAAGAAATAGGGCCCCCCCCAAAAAAAAAAACTCAAAACGACGTCGTTTTGGATTTCGAGCCAAATTCGAACCATTGATTGCGGACCCTCAAACAATTTTCGGCTTTACTAGGCCACAAAAATCAAGATTCGAAAACTATAAAGGCTACCTCAAAAGAGTTGCACCACCAACCACTTCATCAACAATGTGAAATATACATAAAAACGTGAAACTTATCAGATGATGTGGTAAAAAGCCACCATCGCATTAATGATTTTTTCATACAGCTGTGATATAGACCCCCGGCACCCCCCACACATTTTGTTAGAGAGGGAGGAGAGAGAGTAAAAAAAAATGAGTGGCCACAAATCAATAAAAAGAGAGGTCACAATTTTTGGAAGTTCCGAGTATTTTTCTTTTTCAAAAACTACCCATTTAAAAAACTATTTAAAATTGTTTTAAAAATTTTCAAAATATCATTTTCATAAAAAAATAAATTGAAAAAAGTACAAAGAGGAATGTGCTTTTCAACTCGTCATTTTTACTTCGCATAACATGAAACACAAGCAGAAAACAAAAACAATGACAACGAAACCAAACAGTCTGCAACTGCACCTAAATATCCCAGAAACAAGTCATCAAATCCCTGGCAGCTACCTTTGATCTTTGAAATCTTTCTATTTTTTGTTCCATCTATGATTGAGCAGAATACAGAAACTAGTCACTGTATTTGTACAATTCTACTTCTCTAAATGCTCTTTAGCCTTCTAATCTAACAGCAAACCAGAAACATACCATGAAACTACCTGCTTTGATGACTCAAATCTATTTATATCACCAATGCCTAAATCATCATCCAAGACATTCCACTTGGGAAAAGTTTTCTGAAAACACCCATTTTTTTTAGTAAGCGCTTCAATTTACTTTCTAAATTTTTGAAAACTATATATATCTCAGTACCATGAAGGAAGGTATGTGCCATGGCTACATCATCTGTGTTTTGCCTCTAGAGGAACAAGAATGGCAAGAATGAGTTCCAATGAATAAATTTCAAGTACAGTGAAATTGCATAAACTACAGCTTGCATAACACTAATTTGAGTGTTGGAAAGAAAAATAGAGAGACAATCAAAGCCACAATGATTCCATAAAACAACAGAAAAAGGGTTGGCCAAAGCCAGTTTATACGTGTGATGTCACAAACTTCCATACAATTCATTAATGCAAAGCTGGAAGGACTCCATGATTGTAAACTTTCGCCGAGGTTATATGAGCCCATCAAATTTTATTAATCCTATAATAAACTTTAAGAATTTTGAACTCAACTTTACCTTCGAACTCCTTGAAAGAAATAATCTACCTGAGCTTCACTCGATGCCTTCAGCTTTGCTCAATGTGTTCTGAAAAAAAATCCGATGACCAAGTCCATTTCTAATATGAAGAAGGTACAATATGCACCTGTAATTTTAGGGACCTAACTTCCACCCCATCGTCTCTTTCGCGCTGGCCTTTGTTGTTTAGTCTCTGTTGTTTCAACTACCGGATCAACTTGAGGGTTGGGAACACTGTCAGTTTCCTTTTTCAGTGTGATGGGCTCCTTAAAGCGCTCTCTTCGTTTCTCCATCTTTGCAATCACCTCAAGTATCTGAGGGCTGTCAAAACCCTCACCAACCTTACTCTGCTTTGCAGCATTTTCATCACGCAAAGTTTTCTTTTTCGCAACACTGATTTCTGCAACATCTTCAAATTTTAACTTCTCAACTACAGGGTTCTCGTTCACTTCTGTGATTATTTGACCTTCCTCGATATCCAAAGCTTCATTCTGCTGTGTGACTGGAAACTTATCAAGCCATTTCTCATCTTTCTGGTTGATCTCACCTTCAGTGTTGTCGGCTTCCCCTGCCTTCTCTGTGTGAGATTCCTTATAATCCGTAGAAACTATCTGTTCCTTGTCAATGTTCCGATCCATATTTGCATGCGTAACATTGTGCATCATACTTCTGGCATTGGAGCATCTTCCAGATGACTGCAGAGTGTATAGCCATAAGCAAATGTCACATTTATAAGTTTCTAGGCTCTTTAGGTACATATTTACCCTTACTGTCAGAAGAAATGAATAAAAAACCAAAAAAATTATTTGCACAAATGCAGAATAATGCACCATAACACCTATAGACAAAACTTGAGAGAGAGTCAAATATTCATTCTCAACTGGGATGGAATGTGGGAGACGAAAATCATTTACAAAAGCACGTAAACCAACAAAACTTTCCATATTAATAAAGAACAATGCCAACAAGCTCCAGCTTAGTGAGGTGAGAAAATGTTATGTACTCTGAGTTCATATCCTCAAGACGGCACAGTTACCAAAAGTATTCAAAATAAAAAAATACAAGATAATTAGAAGGGATTCAAAATTTTATAATAAAAAAGAAAAAAGAAAAAAAAGAGAGCACAAAATTTCTACTAGCAAACTGCAAGTCTAACAGGGCAAGAATTTGCTGCCTCATTCCCCCCATTTGCTAAAAGATCATCATCTAAACAAAAACATCTGAGGTCATTAGAAAAGTAAAGAACGGCATGTATTGGGTATCACTTAAGGAATGACAATATACACGGCACCACGTACCATTCTCCAACCACCTCCTCTATTGGATAAAATTGAACTTCTATCTGAAAAGAATTGAGCTATCTACTACCCCTTTGAATATCCTATCCTATTCCTAACGCTGTGTTTGGTTGGGGGGATTTGGGAAGGGATTTGGAAAAGTAAAGGAAAAAGGTAGGTGAAATGTACATTTAACCTAATTTCACACACATTTTCCATTTCTCTTTCCAAATCACTCAACCAAACATAGCATAAAGTGTTCTAACTGAACTATTCTCCTCCATAATGCATGAAATATTCTAAAATACAGTGGGCTCAAAGACAATGCCCAAGGTGTCCTAGAATTGTCATCATTCATATAGCGTAGCCTTTTTCCTTTGAAATGAAAAGATACACCAATATAACATAACCAAACGCAAAATGCAATTATAAATAAACAAATAAAGAAATCAACATGAACTTCGTGATGTAGACAACTATTCCATAATTCAGGAAATCTCAAATATAATTGAAGGCTGTAGATGCAGTCTAGAAATCAGTTCTCTTGGAAATGGAGATCATAATTCCAAGTTTAGGCAAATAAATCCACACATGTATATGACATCTCAACAGTATTTACAGAAGTAATACCTTGGCACTGTACCTTGCTATAAATAAATTACTTAGAACATCATAAGGCATTAATTGCTAAGGCATTAATCACTTACTTGAAAATGATAAATAGCACAGAGACATAACCATGATATAAATAGAGAAAAGAACAAGATGAAATCGATTTCAACTAAAACTACCTTATCCCATTTCAACTTACAATTGAGCAATCCATAAAAGTTGTATAAACTCATCCCTCCCAGACCACATTTCAAGGTACACTCAGCCATGTACATGTTCTCATCATTTTACCACAGCAAGTCATGTTACAAACATGTCCTGAACCACATAATTTGCTGGCTTCTGTAGTCCTCTAGTATAATTTCTATTCATCTTCCATATTTTGATCACAAGGATTTGTTGGACCACAGGACAAGACTGACGCAATCATACTATTCCATTGTTCTAGTGGATATGTCTGACTAATGATTTTTTGTATAGAAAGGGTGGGGGAAAAAAATCATTTCCTCACAAAAGATAGGCATTACCAACCTGTGATTTCATCATTCCTAGGCTGAATAAGACTGAAAGGTAAAGATCCATGCACCTTTCCATAGAACAAGGAAAGGAAAAAAACAAAAAAGACACCGAAACAAATCGACTTCACATTCACAGGCCAATATGGTGAGTGCCTATGCATAACCATGATTTCTACATAAGTAGACACCACACAAAATGGCAACCATCTTAAACAAGGTTGAACACAAGCGAAGCTCAAAATACTTGAGGAAAATGCTATTCTACCAGAACATTCATACATAACACTTAACCAAAATGATGTGACGATGGCATTCTTGAAATAAAGATCACTCTGAGGAGTTTTCTGATTTAAAATGATAGATCCAAATGTGCCACATCATTCTGTATAGAATTTTTGCATAAGTTTTCTTTTTGTATATCACTAAATACTTAATACAAGGAAAATCGTACAAATATTTAAGATCCATAACTGCATAGAAAATCATACAAGATTTAACGAAATACCAAGATAAAATGGTATAATGATACTAGGTATAGAAGAGTAAAGGAATACGAGCCATGAAACCAGCAACACTAAAGATGATCTCGAACGTAGAGATAGTGAGGATTGCATGGTCTGTTAACAAAGATAAAAATAAACAAAACAAAAGAAGAGCACTAACTAAAATCATTAGAGCAAAAACATGCCTTGGGATATTTCCTCCCTATGACAAATTATAAGTTGATAACTACACAAATGATAAGTTGCTTCAACCATGCAGCAATAATGTTATATGTAATTAGGTTTCTAAGTGTATATCATGAACAGAAGCTATTATAAAAGGGGGAAACATAAAATATGAGTATGAGCAAATCCATAGAAGGCCAACCTTGAGTATAAATTTGTAAGGCCTGATAGAATATGACTGATAGCCTAGCACTAAATACTCTTAGTTCCAAAACCATTCATGCTACAGGTTCATTTACTAACACATAGCTTCCAGGTATAGCCAGCCTATTCTAATGGAAGCAACCATCCAGAATACTTATATAATATGAAAGAACAAAACTAGCGTCTGACATAACAAGGATTATAAAAAAATATATTTTGTAGACACACATAATCCCCTGCTCAAGAAATGCAGTGACATTGCAAGCTTTTTCCAGAATCCTTTCAAAAACCTTGCACCCCCTCATCATAACAGAACTCAAATGGAAAGAGATTCCAAAGAGGAGAAATGCGTGGGTAACCAGTACACAGTCTCTCAGTTGGATAACTGGCCAATATGTCAAAGAGTACCCATGAATGCCTGAACAACAAAGGATTCATTGAAGGATAAAGTATGAACAACAAAGAACTTAAAGCATCTTTGGTACAGCAAAGACATTCAAAGAATCCTTAAAAGGGCTACAAATTTAAAAGAAACATTATCAAACCCTTCAAAGGACTACAAGTTTAAAAGAAACATTATCAAAAGCGTGTGATGAATTAATACCAAACCAAAAAAGTCTTGTGTTCTTATTAAGTGGGGTCGGCTACATGAATCTTTTTTCCATTCTACTATGTCAATGACTATATGCTCACTTAAATTAAATAAATTCATTTTTTTTTACTGTGTGACACCTGAATGTTTATTTAAAATGTTGCATTCTTCCAAGGACTCAAGAATAGTAAGAGAAAAAAGTTCTATCTCCATCACGGAAGATTAAAAAATGCTTAACAAACTGGGATATTGAACATTTGTGCTGGAACCATAACAGCTGGTGAGAACTTATCCCAAATCCAACATAGCCCAACTGTAGTTTTCAGTATACTGAGCAATATATAGGCAATTTGGACGATTAAAATATGTTACTTGAATGAGTGATGACAAGTAAAAATAATGGAGGAAGAACCAGTAACAGCCTTTTAAATGCCAGAAAACAGACATGACCACGTGATCCCTTCCATAATTAAACAAACCCATAATAGAACATATACAATCAGGTGCACACATGGGGACCATTACTGCAAGTAAATCATGTTCAAACTTTCACAGGGAAAAGGAACAACAAATCATATAAAACATGGTGCTTACCTAGCAGAATCATACCAACCTTCCAAAGACCTGGTAATAATGACAAGAAAAAACTATCTAATACTCATTGAGACACAGTATAATCGCCACTATGTCAAAAGTTGAACAATCTTCATGCTTGATGAATCAGATGAAGGTACCAGATCAACACTATCAGAGACATATAAGTAATGACTACAGTTTTTGTTTTTGTTTTTTTCCCCCTCTTTTGTACTCGCTTTTATTTTATTTATTTATTTTATTTTTATTTTTTTTTTGGGGGGGGGAGGGTTGTGTGTGTGTTGGGGGGAGATTAAAAGGGGGAAAACTGAAAAACTATCTTTTCATGCTTCAGGCATTTTGTCAGCAATTCTATTTTGCTTGCCTAAGATGGCCACTGCTGATGCTGAAGAACAAACAGAGGCCATAGTAAAAGACAGTTTCACAAAAAAAGATTGTATGAAGAAAGATAAATAGGCAAATAATAGGCATAAAGAATCTCTTAAAAAACCATGCAATGAGATCGCATTAGCAAAATGAAAGAAGGCTTGCTCAACATACATGGAGCACTCATATATACAAGCGAAGTGATACAAGATTTTGATCTTAGTTTCCCCAAACTTTACCTTTCTTTCTCCGACAACCAATTGCAAGTCATCTGAATCCCTGCATCTCAAGGCTGTCTTCTCATGCTTACCTCTACTAATAATATTAGAACTTCTTTCAATATGTTTACTATTATTTCCTTTGTTTGTTAGTTTGATTCTACACTGTTCTACTTCCCCGTCATCAAGTAGCTTCCGTTTAGCATAAAACCTTCTGTGCCTTGAAGTCCCTCCAAAAGGAAATGATGCCTCCTCAGCAAGGAATTCATCATCCTCATGCCTAGAGATATATTCACGCTCAGTCCAATGCAGTGAATCAGATTGCCAACGTCTTCTTCCAAAATCAACTTGGCCATCAGGATAATTGATACTTCCTTCTGTGTCACAAGCGTCATGATTACTACCAAACCAATCACTGCCTCTGCCTCTGCCTCTCTCCTTCAATATCTGTCTCATGTGTCTCCCATGCCTTTCAGTTAATCTCAGGTCACATGCATTTGTTGGGGAAATGGTGTCAAGCCTCTTTCCTCTGTTGGAAGTATGAGGCTCTCCGTAAGAATGGGATGACAAGGATCGATGATCAGCGTATTTCCAGTACTCATCCTTATAGGGGATAGCCCATGAATTATCCAAATCAATGGAGGGACTGTCATATTTTCTCTCACTTCTGCTAGAGCTTTTTCCTCCTCTCCTGCTTGATGGTAAAGGCCTTTCATACTTACCATTCATATACTTTCTGTCTTTGTCATAATATCCGTATTTTTCTTGCATGAAATCATCTTGATACTCGTGATCAAACAAAAAATCATCTCTTTCTATTCTCTTCCTGAACTGGAATTCATCTACTCTCCTGCATCGAGTAACTCTTTCTTTGTTCAAGTAGGGGGAATAATTTGAATCCAACCGTCTGGCTTCCTTGCAAATGAAAGTATTAAAAGTTGGTCCCCTTACATAATTATGCCAATCCCTGCCCATTATTACCTCATCATCCGCCCTGGATACCCTTTGTTCAAGAAAATATTCTCCTTCATCCCACCTTCTACGAAGATATCGATCTGTCTCATCTCCAGGGCTCTGACGATTCCTACGAGGTTTTTTGGAATAAGCAGCATGGACCTGATTGTAAGAAAACCTTTCACCATAGTAGTTGAAAGAAAATTTAGATTCCTTATAATATGTGAAATCTTCTCTATCAAAAGAGTCAAGACCATGATGCCTTTTATCATGTCTGCTATGACCAACTGCTGTATAATTTGAATCATAAATTCTATCAGTATTGGACAAGGGGGATGCATATTCATAATCATGGTGACTCTTCAATTCAGAGACACCGTTGAGTCTCCTATTGTAATGCTTCAGATCCTGTGGAATAGGACTTCTGTTTCTTGCATAATATTTACAGTCATGAGATTTTGTTCTGCCACGATGGTTTTTAGAGTCATTTGGGTGATAGTAATCACATGTTGCCAACTCCTTCAACTCAGTGACTGAATTTGGTGATTGCCGCTTCAGATTATTTTGAAATCTTTCTGGATCAGTAGAAGCATCATCTCCAGATGCTTCACAATGACTCCCAGAGTAAGATGAACTTTGAGTCTGTTCACCAAGCAAGGATTCTGTTTCCCCCATATACGGAGCTGCATTGCATGTGTCCCTGCAAACCTTTTCCTTTGTGTTATTTGAAGTTTCCATTGCTTCAGCATTTCCTACGGAACTAGAACCAGTAACCTTTCGATGGAAATGCCCATTCACATCAGAGATTTGATCACTTCCATGAATATCCGAATCCACAGACACTGGATTAGATGGATTTGTTACTTGGGAACACCTAACCATATCAAAGAAATCATGTGCATTAGTTACTTGGAACAAGATCAAGAACTAACACATAAATAAACTACTTTACACATAATTTTAAATATTCATGCAAATGAAGACATAAATAAAGTGAAACTATTGGGCCCTCCATTGAGCCTTAATCAAGAGTAACAAGAGAGCAAATAGTTTAATGGAAACAAGATTGGCACTTTGCTAAATAATTCAATTTCAATGACAGTTTTCTCTTTTAAACAGGGTGAAAAAAAACATATAATTTCATATATCACGAGGAAAATTAAACAACCTCTCCAAAGACTCATGCACTATTAAAGCATTTGAAACATCCCCACCAGCATGAACTAAGCCAATAACATTTACATGATTATGTTCTTGGGCAATGATGAAAGACCAAATTGCAGAAGAATAGTTCTCAAACATGAAAGAAAAAACAAGATCTATCCTCCCTGGTGACAGAGCACAGAGAAATTAAGAATTGTCTTCGTTGATGGCTCCTCTTATGCGTAGATGACACTGACTAAATTTCTCTGCAAGCATCCAGTACCAAACACCCCAGTCCAATTTATGTATTTTTACAATAATATAAATAATTATACAACAAAGAAGAAGCTCATGATCTGCTGATTATATATATGCAAACAGATGTTGATCCACACAAACCATAGAATGTAACAACGTGAATCTTAAAGAGAAGCTATTATTTTCTATCATGAAACCTAATATCCTAAAGATCCTAATATTGTACCCATTATCATAGTTTAAAAGCCATTCCCATACCAATCCAACTTTAAAAAAGTCAAGCATGGCAGAAGAGCTGTGCAGAGTATTCATGCAACTAACGTTGATTCTACAGACTCTACATATATAATTTGACTAACAAAAGCAATAACCGCAAGTATTTTGAGGCAACAATGTCTGGTATCATTCAAACCTTTTGGGAAAATGTCTGCCTGATCTTTTGACATTCTCTTCTGAAAATTCCCTGGACAATTCATCTCCACTGCCACTACCAAAATGGTGGACAACTCTGTCATCATCCAAACCAAAATCTTCATTTTCAGATGCTTCATGTGCAGAACCATCTTTGAGGGTCAATTCCACTTTGCCTGAACCGGAGGAATCCTCCATAGAGTCCTGCACAGCAATCTGCTCCAAAGCATGCCATAAGAAACAAGTAACTGCTGTAAGGGCGCAATTGAGCAAATCCAAAGTGATAGCACACCTGTATTACAACATCTGGATCCCGATCAACTAAACGCCTTACATCCATGGAGGGTTGTCGTTCAAGAATGTTGTCTTCAACTTGAATTACTCTACCTTTGGGCTGAAATAATCACAGTGATTTTATAATTTAAATTCCCTAACTATTATCTGAAGAGAATATCCGAGTGTGTCACAGCACTATATAATAAAAAAATTGGAGCCAAAAAGGGAAAACAAACAATGCCTTATTTACTCATACCACTTCAAGCTGCTTCGTTTCTCTATAAGCAATTTTCGATGCTGGAGAAACTGTTCCCCACTGCCCGATATGAGCAACTTTCTCAGGCATAGTTTCACGTGATCCTGTTTCATACTCAGCTCCAGCTTCATATGCCTGTTTAGAACACAGACCAAATAAGACAATTTGAGCTATATCTAAAACTAGTTTTACAATTAACTGTTGCTTGAAAAAATTAAGAGTTTTCCGCAAAGCTTTTATCGACTCACGTCCTTAGGTTTTGAAAAATCATGGACTGAGGTCCTGGTCAGCAAGGATGTTTGTTGTCGAAGCTGATCCTGTCACAGAATAAAAAACCTATCGAAGGTTAGATCAAAAGGGGTTTCAAAGGAAGGATTGGGGAAAGGAAAGAAAAACTAACATAAACCGAATAACAGTAAGTTCCCTCTACCAATTTCGAATGCATAGCAATAATCTCAACGCATAGGGAATAGGAAATCTATGCTCAAAACCTCGAAAACTTACATAATTACAAGTCCAAGAAGATATTTGATGGTTGCCTCGCAATTAACCTTAAGACGGCAATTGACATGCCCCAATAGGATTTCTTCACCTTTTCATTTTCTTGTGTGGAAAAGGTAAGGGGTGTTCTCAGTTAGGGTAGGGCATGGTTTGAGAGAAGAGGATCAAACACTACTAGGCCCTCCAAAGGGGTTCCTTTAAACTTATGCTCTCAGTCATCACGACCTTGGGGTTTCCTTCGCCACTCTCCACTCAAGCAACAGTCCTCGCCACTACCTTACTCTCTGCACTGGCAACCATCTAACCCCCACTCTCACTTAACCAGCCCTTAATTTCTCTTCATCAGATCGGCTACCATCTCGCCCTTTATCACCTTCATCTCTCTTTACCAAAACTCATCTAGACAATTGATTCATCCTAATATTATTTTGTTTCTATGTAAGTTTCATTAGGGTGTTTACAACCTAAAAGTCACACAGATTTTAGGCTTTGTCCAGGATACATGTCAGGAAGTGTCCAACGGGTGTTGGTGTTCGACACGGACACATCACCATCTTATAATTGTCTGTGCTTTATAGGAAAGGATGTTCAAGGTTTTGGATGGGTTCAAATATGGAAACCTGTAATTGGTTCATGACCGTTACAGGATTGGCATGAGGTGTTTTCATGGATACTATGAACATTCAAAAGAGAGTAAATTTATTTACCAGGTGGTTGCAATAACACTTCCAACTTTCTTCATCAAAACCAAAATTAAAAAAGTCTGTTATATCTGCTCTGGGATGCCTCCAAGGCTTCCGCTCAAATGTATCAATATTTACATCTAATATGGTCCTGTATGTAAGATAAAGGCATGGTTAGTTGTGATGAACATAGAGAAAGCAAAGAACTTGTGCATGTTTAGAAAACAATCGAGAAAACCGTTTAAGCACTCATCTTTGACATAATGCCAAAACTAGGCATCATGGCCATAACAAGTCTCATTTGGCACTAAAGGTAGCCTAATTAATACTGAATCATTTATCCCCCCTTTTCAAAGTGAATGATGCATGTCATAGGCCACCACCACACCGTGGGATTAAAAACAAAGTTGTAACCAAGTTTGCTTACCTATACCGGGGAAGAGAGAAATTATGACCGCTTTGAGCTACTAGTGAGCTTGAGGCCATACGTTGATTGCATTTGTTATCATCCCAATCACCTCTAACTGATGCGGAAGAGTAAGGAGCCACCACCGCAGATCCATTGGTTTTTGAATTAGATGGAAACGAAGCTGCATGAGGTCTTATGTACTACAGAACAGAACCCAATTTGAAAGAGTAAGCGTATGCAGGATGGAAATGCATAAATTATAGCTTTTTTCATATTAACAGTGCAAAATTAATACAAGAGGTTCAAACATAAAGAACAAGTCTATCTTTATGTTCTAAAATATATATTTATAATATAAAACCAGTCAAATCAAAAGTTAACACTTAATCAGCAAAATAGTATGGATAAAGTGACTGTACAAGTGGTTCCAATATCTCTTTCAGTAGTCACAAAATAGTTTGATATTAAATTAAAGCAAAACATCAGACAATTCGCTGAATATTTAAGTAATTGTTGACTCTGCTTCTGTTTCCATGACATGCCGTATTCATTGCAAACAGTCAATTTTTGTAGAAATCTCAACCCATTCTAATTAGCATAAAATCTGTACGCCATCCTAACAGAGAGTGAGAAACAGATACTTATGGGGGAATCGGATGCCCCAAAAAAAACAACCCCTTGAACTTTATGAACCACAAGCAACTGAATTCATCAAAAACATTACATAATTGTTTTGAGCCTAACTAAATTTAGTTTAGAATTACATACAAATTAAACCACACTCAAAAAACACAAAAGTTAAAATTCACAATACCTTGTATTGCAAATACTGTGATTGATAACTTCCCTTCCCTCCATTCCCTCTCTCGCTGCCCATGCCACGGCCATTTGGACTCAACTCCAACCCATCACCCTCTGCAAGAACCTCCAAACCACCATCCTCCTCCTCCTCCTCCTCCTCCACCTCCACCTCATCAATCCCCTTCACACCTCTCGCTACAGGATACACAGACCCATCACCATCACCATCAACATCATTCAGAACTATATTCAAGTCGTCCTCGCTATCGCTTCCATTATCAACACCCACACTCGAAGCTCTCTTCGCTTCATCGTCGTCCTGAATTAACACATCGACATTCTTCGAAACCGAATCGATACATTTGGTATTGTTATCGTCTTGTTCTATGTACAATCGACTGAAATTTGAATTGTCATTGACGGCTTTACTTGCTTGAACTTCAATGTCTGCGTATAGATCGCCGAAATCATCATCAATGTCTTCCATTCGCGTACGAACTCGTGAAAGAGAAAGAGAGAATGGTTACTGCAACGGTTAATAACTGATCAATGACCACTAAGTAGCCATATCCATGCGCTGTAAAACCCTAGAAAATCTTAAACCCTAACCCAGTGACTGCATCAGAGGGTACCAAGGCAGTACACCGCTGAGACATTTTCGAGGATGAGCTCATCTTCTATCGCTTGGTTTATATATGGTATTACAGGAGTTTCTTTTTATTTTTATTTTTTTTAATTTCATCAAGTCTATAGAATTTAAGGTGTTTGTATGTGAGAAACATGGTTGGAGATAAAAAATACGAAAATTTGTTTGGTTTATTTTTTTTTTCAAAAGATATTTTGAAAATTTATTTTAAGAAAGAGTTTTGGAAAAGTAATTGATTTGATTTGTATGAGAGAGAGATTTGTTTGGAAAATTTGTAAATCAAACAAGTTTTGAAAAAAAAAATTAGAAAAATTTGTTTGGTTTGATTACTTTTGAAAACTTATTTGTAGAGTATTTTTCTCAAAATTTTTTGAGAAAAACAAACCAAACAATGCCTAATTTTTTTTTTAAAATAAATCAAATATAAACAGAAATAAAAGTAATCTCTCCGTTTCAAAATAATTGTCTCTTTTAGAGAATTTAATTTTTTTTAATAGTGTAATCATTACACTTTTAAAAAAATTAGTTTTCTAAAATTACTCTTCGATAGTACATTTTTTGGAATATCAATGTCATAATTGTATTTTTTATATTTTTAATAAATTTAAAAGAATGACAAAATAAAAATTTTATATTATTTTCGTATTTAATTTTTGAAAATGGACAAATATTTTGAGAAAATAAAAAATGAAATAAGGGACTAATATTTTGAAACGGATGTTTTTAAGGCCCTTTTTAAAATTTTTTTAAAAAAAATTATGTTTGTTTATGTCTTTAGTAAGTTATAATTAAAATAAATTATAATTAATTCTTTTAAGTGGCAGCAAACGGAACAAATTAAATTATGTAACAATCACTTAATTAAATTATAGTATATAATTTTTACATTTACATAATAAATGAAGATAATTTCAGAATTTTTTTCTTATAAATCTTTATTCAATTGTTTTATAAATGTTGTAATTAATGGAAACTGTTATGTTGTTATTTATGAATAAATGGTACAATTGAAAATTAAACAAGTCAGAATCAAAACATATTAAGGGATGATTGGGGACACGGTAAAAAAGTAATTTATTTGTTATAAGTCGTCATATTATTTCTTTATTTTTTTACATATTTTTTATAAAAAGTAATAAATCAAAAAATAAGCAAACCTCAAATCACCCCAATTACATCAAAACGTAATTAACAATAACCATTACATGCCTCAATGTTGTTATTATGTACTTGCATAGAGTAACGGTGCATTAATATTCATCAGATAATTTTTACAAATATTATTTAGATGTAACGTAGAGGAATTGGTGGATGAACTAGTATCACACTTACAACTTTTTTTTTAAAATAAATAAACATTAGATTTTTTTTTCTAAACATAAACGCTCATTTGAGCCAAAGTACTGGTTAAATTTTATTTATTATATAACATCACGTATTTATTATAGCTTAATATTTAAAGGCATGTGTAACGTATTGTATTAAATATAGGAATATTTATTAATAAATTTTATTTCAAGTATTCTAATTAGTTTCAAATTTTTTCTATTGATTTATTAAGTCTTATTAGTGATAAGTTTTTTCCCGTGTGATTCTATTTTTTATTTTGGTTGATGGTTACACTCTTTTATTAATGTGACATGTATGATATGATACTCTGATGTGACAGATATTAATATGACACTCCAACGATGTGACATTCCAAAAAAATTAAAAATTTCTTGGTGTACTTTTTTTAAATGTGACAAAGTGGCGGGTATAATATGACACTTCAGAATTTTTTACTCTAAAAAAATAATAACTCTTTAATATACTTTTTTCAAACGTAACAACGTGACAGGTATGATATGACACTTCAAAAAAAATAAAAACTACTTAGTATACTTTTTTCAAACCTGGCAACGTAATAAGTATGATGTGACACTCTAAAAAAAATTAAAAACTCATTAGTAGACTTCTCTCAAATGTGACATGTGACACTCCAACGTAGCGGGTATAATGTGTCACTTTAAAAAAATTAAAAATTCTTTAGTGTATTTTTTTCAAATGTGACACTCTAACGTGGCAGATATGATGTGGCACTAAAAACTCTTTAGTGTACTTTTTTCAAATGTGACACTCCAATATAGTGGGTAAATGACTAAATGGATCACAAGAAAAAAAAAATATGGGACTATATAAATTACAAGTCCAAAATATGGGACTTATTGATCAATCTCTCTTAAATATAATTTTTTTTTTAAAAAAAAGAAGAAAATAGGTGCATCATATTATAACAAGATATTATTAGAAAATATAGTTATATTATCATTATAATTGCCAAGATAAATTGGTTGTTGTAAGGTCATCTTCAACGTTTAATCAAGTTTATCATAAAATTTGAATTTGGTGAAAAATGTGACATTTTCTGCCTCCAACGATTTTTATCAAAATGATATCAAATTGAGAATGTCTCAAAATTTTCACCAAAATGAGAACCTGGGTTACATTTCAGCAGTTTACTGTGCATAAACGTTAGGTTGGGATCCATCGGACGTCCGACTAGCAAAGAAAATGAAGATCAGCAACAGCCATGGTTTGGACTGCGAACTGGCTTGCAAAATTGGTCGCTGTTTGTGACACCAAAATGAAATTCCTTACCAACATTGATCCATGGATAGTTAATGCAAATACATTGCATGTACATTTAATTTTGTATCAAAATTAGCCATTCATTTAGCAGGGTACAACTGCAATAAAGGTTATCGTTGGTTTTGCAGAGGATTTGACAAACTTATCGTTGTTGTGGCCTATAAAATAAGACTCTACCAGACTTTTAATTTTACAATATCATTCTCGTTTTCGGGAGCATCATATGGTAGTGCATTTGCATTCAAACTTTGCAATAAATTATCAACGCCACCAACTCGGGTCACTATGTACTCTGAAATGTAGATGATATTTTAGTTTATGCTTCATCTACTACTTTAATTTTAAAAGCTTTGAAAATTCTAGTTAGCAAAGCTCCAAAAACTAGTGACTGCCTAGTGATATGACCAAGATTTGCAACTAGAATTTCTTTCATTTGTATATAACATAAATCTAATTTGTGTACAACTTCAAAACAATATAGCAAATAAGCATTAAAAATTGGAACAACATCAAAATGTCCTATTTTGAGAGTGACATTTTCTATTATAAATCAATGGAGAATACGAAGGTGGGGTTTTAAATGTCTTACTTGTAAATTACTCCCGGTAAATCTTCTATCACAAATAGTAGTATATACTTTACTGATGAAAATTTCATAATCAAAATTAAGATGCTTATCTCTCTCATATTTAACAATCATATTGTGCAATATAATGCAACTCTTCATTATGTTACCAAGCATTTTGGAATCCCAAAAACGTATTGCACCACTAATCGAGATTGGAGCACTTCGAATGCCCACTCTACATCCTTCTTTGTTGACTCTTGCATCATTGCAAAATGTTGCTTCTTTGCTCCTTAGAGAGAAGAGATTATTTGAACTAGTGTTGCCTACTGAGAGTATATACCATCAGCAAGGTAATAACACATATTATAAGTGTGTCCATTAATAGTGTAATGGATAGGCAGAGTTTTACCTTTGAAAAGATCAGAAAATAAGGGAGATCGATCCAATACATTCAAGTCATTGTGTGATCCAGGCATTCAAAAAAATGCATGCCAAATCCACGAGTCATAAGAAGCTACTGCTTCAAGAATAATGGTTGGCTTTTTTTGATGACTTACATATTGACCTTGTCATGCCGCTAAACAGTTTTTCCACTCCCAATGCATATAATCTAAACTTCCCAATATACTTGGAAACCCACAAACCTCCCCAATACCAAGTAATCTAGCAATATTAGTTGTTGTTGGAAATCGAAGGTATTCAGATCCAAATATATCAATTATTGAATTGCAAAAGTGTTTCAAACTTTCAATTGTCGTGTTTTTCCCAATTTGCACATAATCATCAACTGCATATGCTGCCATTCCATATGCGAGTATTCTCATTACTGAAGTTATCTTTTGCAATGGAGACAATTTAAGGATATGAGCTGCATATTTTTTTTTTTGAACAAAATATAGATCGTGTGCTTCAATGGCATTCAAAATTTTTAAATACAGAGGACGACACATTCAAAAACGTCTCCGAAATGTTGTAGGTGAATAAATTGGATTTGCCGCAAAATAATCCACAAACAATCGTTCATGACCTTTGCATTTATCGCGACGCATGTTTTTATGTCCTACAACATAACCACTTATTTTCTTGGATCGATCACTTGCTATCAGAATCTATATCATACTAGCATTATGTATGTTATAAACACCCGAAAGTTTCACAATTTTTTCATCATCAAACTCATTATCAGAGGATGAGGAAGAAGAAGATGATGAAAATGAAGTGAACAAATAAGAACTTGAGCTCCTCATTATGCTCTGGTTTTCAATTATGGTTGGTCCCATATACAACGTTGTTTGTTTGGTTTATATAGTCCATGGTTAATATTTTTATATCTGTTTTTTGAAGGAAATTATTCGCTACATTGCTTCTACTTTTTTTAAAACACTTTTTAGAAAATTTTCTTTGAAGGAAATTATTCGCTACATTGCTTCTACTTTTTTTAAAACACTTTTTAGAAAATTTTCCTTTTTTGTTTTTCATATATTTTTTTTGTTTTTACGGAATTTTTTTTTAATATTTTAAGCAATGTTTTAGATTTTTAGATACACCTAACATAAATATACTTAAAAAGTATAATTTTTGTGAAAAAAATCTTTACAAAATTCACTAAATACCAAAAATATATAAAAAAAAATGAAAATTTAGTAAAAACAGATATTTTTTTTTTTGTTTTTCATATATTTTTTTTTGTTTTTACAGAATTTTTTTTTAATATTTTAAGCAATTTTTTAGATTTTTAGATACACCTAACATAAATATACTTAAAAAGTATAATTTTTGTGAAAAAAATCTTTACAAAATTCACTAAATACCAAAAATATATAAAAAAAAATGAAAATTTAGTAAAAACAGATATTTTTTTTGTATATTTATTAATTTTTTAAAATATTTTTTTACAAATATTTTACTTTTACTTTTTAGATACATCTAAGTAAGGTGCATCTAAAAAAATAAAAAAATGTTTAAAATTTTAAAAATTTAAAAATATTCACTGAAAATAAAAAAAAAGGAAAAACAAAAAATTCAATTTTTAGAAAATTGAATTCAGAAAACAGAAACCAAACACACTGATTATTGGAGGCAAAAATAAATGGAAAAGATTTAATGGAGGGAAAAATAAATGGGAAAGGAATTGACGAAACATAAATGAAGGGGAAAAAAAAATTTAAGTTTTGTCTTTCTGGTCGACCGGTCAGTCGTCCTCCGGGACGTCTAGTGCATTTTGATGAAAGCTCCAGTTCTCCATTAGAGTGAATGATATATTAGAATGAGGAATTGGTTTTTTTTTTTTTTTACTCAGATTTAATGATATTTTTGCTCAATCGTTGGAGATGCCCTAAGTTAGATATATGTAAAAATATATACTACATTTTTATATATAAAAAAATTATAACTGTCAAAAAGTTTTAAGAAAAATTATAGTATTTTATATAAAAAAAAATGTAAACATTTTTTTAGAAAATGTATAAAAAAAAATGCCACTATATATCTATATAATAAAGCAGAACGGTTTTTGAATTTTCAATATATTTTTGTTATACTAGGACATTTGGATTGTTCAGATATGTTCAAATTATAAAACAATGGCTAAAATATATTTTTAAAAAAATGTCCTACATGTATCGCTTCCCTCTCTTACTTTTTTTTTTATCACTCATCCTTCCATGATCCTATGATTCTGCGTTCCTCTCTCTCTTTTTATTTTATTTTATTTTATTCTCTCTCACTTTTATTTTTGCTCTCTATTTGTTTATTTTTTTTATTTTCTCATTTTTATTCATATCTTATAAAAAAAGTCTGCGATCCCAGAATTAGGAGCCAGATTTTACTATGTGTAGTGGAGATTAAATTAATGAATTTTATAGCCCACAAATTAAATGAATTTGAACTGTTAATTATTATTTTTAAATATATTGAATACCTGATAGACTTTATAAATTTAGATCTTGTATGAATCTTCAACATTTATGTAATAAAGCAGAACGGTTTTTGAATTTTCAACATATTTTTGTCCTACTATGACATTTGGATGGCTCAGATCTGTTCAAATTATAAAACAATGGCTAAATATATTTTTTAAAAAATGTCTTACATGTACATTTTATAATTTTCCGTTTCTGTCTCTTACTTTTTTATTTTCTCACCCATCATTCCATGATCCCACCTTCCTCTCTCTTTTATTTTTATTTTTTTATTTTCTCTCATTTTTATTTTTCTCTCTATTTGTTTACTTTTTTTATTTTCTCATTTTTGTTCAATATATTTTACACATATTTCCATACAATGTACGTATGCCTATAATACGCTAGGACATTATGGACATACATATAATTTTCATATAATTATATAAGCAAAAGCATTATTGTATGTATGTCCGTGGAAATTATATGCATGCCAGACACATCTATTTATCTAGTTATATTTTGTATATGAAAAAGTGAGTTTTCATGAGGAGTTTTGTGAGAACTCCAAAATTTTATAATAAATTTGTGAATTTATTAAATTAAAAAATAAATTTAAATAGCATTGAAATTACAATTATATTCTAATCCTAACATTATTTATATCGTACTTTCAAGTACAGACATATACTAGTATATATATATAATACAAAGTTTTCCAAATGTTCCTTTGGCAAACTTGTGATGGTCGGCTAACTACAAGCTCTTGCTTTGCTCTTTGGCCCTATTTTTTTTTACACGATTCTCTGGCCCTGTTTAGTAAATTTTTTTTTTAAGTTAGAAGTTGATGGTCAAAAATTATAAGCTAAAAGTATTTATTTCTCAATTTTCAAATACTCAATTTTTTTTCAATTTATTTAAGCTATTTCTAAGTTATAAGCAGACGTTATACTAAATAATCTGACACAAACTCTTAAATTAAAATAAATTATAATTACTTCTCAGAAGCCATAATAAATAGCCATTTGTTATTGAATTATTAATATTTTCAGTAATGACGCCTCTTCATTTGGGTAGCTAGTGGGATCTAGAGATATACAAGCCGTAGTGACACCTATTTATTTTAATTTGAATTTTGTATTGTTACTCAAGACTTTCACTTATCTAGTGAGTGCAGAAGAGCTTCATTGAGTCCGGGGATTTAGCTTCTCTTGCAACCAACTCTTGAATTCGCTGTTTTTGGATAATTACGAAGCTTAAAATTTTAGTCTTTTTTGGTGTCAGTCTTGAATTCTCTGTTTTTGGTGTTTAGCAAGAAAATTTAGTCTTTTTTAAGTTAAGATTTGCAAAAAAAAATAAAATAAGTTAAAATAGTTAAAAAGATAAAATGTCACATTAAATCCATAAGAGAAAAGTTAGGATCATGAAAAATTTTTCATGAAAATGATCATGAAACTTTTATGATCTTTGAACTACCTTGATTAGTATATGATGCTTTATTCTAAGTGTAATCCAAGGGTCACAAAACTTTCATAATTATTTTCACGAAAGGTTTTTCATGATCACCAAGGATCCTCTAGAGCATTTTTTTCCTAAAGATTTCTAAAGTAGTGTATTGTGTGTTTGAGATTTAATGTTGAAAAATTGATGTGACTTGTCATTAAATCTCAACCACACAATGCACCACTCTAAGAAACTTTAGAAAAAAAGAACTCTAGAGGATTCTTGCTCTTTCATGATACCTAGCATTGCTGAATCCATAATTATTTTACTTTTTCTATTACAAACATCACATCTAATTGCAAAAAAATCTAATCATTTTTCTAAACACAAAAATTTTAATCTACTAAAATAATCAAAAACTAAAATAACTTATTAAAATAGCAACTGAACTTCTACATTTTATTAGAACTTAAAAATTCAGAGATATTTTTCCCCCTTTTAGCAAGTTTCAAACTAGCATGAATAAACATGAAAGCTTGACATTAATTTAAACCAGGAATGGCCTCTTAAAAAAGCCTTGCATTAAACATGGTGCAAATCCAACGACACTCCTGGAATCCTGGTTTTAGTACAGAAAAAAATATAGACAGATCACTTTCCACTGTTTGGTATCAGAGTAAATGCTGGTTTATGTGAGGAAATTTTCTTCTTCATGATGAAGTAAAAAACTGTTGAGGCTATAATTAAACCGCCACAAATCACTGCACCTGCTCCAAAACCATGAGAAGTTAAGGATCAAGTTAGATTAATCAACTCGCCGACAGAAAAGAAGATACAATAAGAATGAATCATCAAAAAATTGTTCTCTGTTCTCTCAAAATTAATTTTGGGTAAATCACACCAACCAATAGTTTAATTAGGAAGAGATGCTCACCAATTGCTACAAAATTCGGTTCAAGAGCTACTGTTACAGCACCTGCGAATTCACATTACAAACGCCAATTGTTTTCAGATGAAGATAAAAGATATTAATAAGGCTTGGTTTGGCATGTTTGAAAAAAATTAAAAAGTCAAAAAGTTACTATCCTATTAAATCACACTATCTTATTTAAGTCATATCACATCTTTAACACATCACTTCAAATCCAACCCAAATCCAACTCATATTTCATAAAATGTCAAAAAATACACTTATTTAGATCATCCCAAACACCCCTAAATCAAAATATCAATCTATACACATATTGCGTACAAATTTGTGTTTATGTCACCATATAGTAGTCATATGTTGCCATTCAGAAAGCAAAAAAGTTCAACTTCATCCCAGACAGTAGTGAAATCACTCTATGGCCAAAATAAAATTTTCGTTTTCTATTTTTTTATTTTCTTTTAAAAAAGTGCAGAAACATTGTTGGACAAAAAAAAATTTAGATTTTATTTTTTATGAAATTAACCAAAACAACACGAGGTTGAATTTGAATTTTGAAAAAGCTATTTTCGAAAATTAAGGCTTCTCCACCAACCAAGTTTTTAAATGTCAATCCATTCAATAACATAGGGTGTGATATCATTTTTAAAAAAATAAAAATAAATTGAACATTTAAACATGTATAATTAGATAAATACATAACCACGCTGTATTTCTGACTCACATAATAATTTCTCGTCCTTGACGATCATGCATAGAATAATGAGGCACTAGCCTCCACTACAGTTTGTTCAACCACTCCTGAGTATTATACCATATCATCATATATTAAACTCCTCCAAAATTCATAAGATAATACAGATCAAGTCAATTAATTAATTGCATATAATAACACTATAACAAATCATATATAAGAAATTACCATTATCGTGGCAGTTATCAGATCTCCGGCCATCGCTGCAGATGCAAATGAAATTCCGGTGAAGCCCATCACTATATCTATACCCACAAAATCCTCCGGTGGCCTCACATGCCCGACAATCACTATCCGGCGATCTCCACCCTAACTTGAACCCATCTTGCAAGACTCTCCCAAACCCACCACCCAGAAAACCACCATCGCCGCCCTTCTCCACCACCACAGCACTCACCGTGGACTCACAAAACCGCTGCCAATCAAACTCCGGTATTGCGCCTTCCATGAACACGTAAGAACGCTTAAGACCGTGTTGAAGACAAGCTATGGATGAGAGTGAAGGTGGGTACAATGTGCAATTATAGAAAAAGTGCACCATCTTGTCTTCTATGGTGTAGTTAAGGAAATAGGAGATGTTTAAATTTAACCTAACATCATGTGGTGCAATGGGACAAGCCCCATTGTTTAGTTCAAGGTATGCGGCGGTGAGGGTATTTTCGGAATAATTGATATTTTTCAGGCGGTAGAGGTGGTTGAAGAGGCGGAGGAGGGGTTGTCGGTCGGTGCATGAGAGGTCAAAGCCCGGATATCCACAATACTCATCATTATTTTGTTGGCTTTTTAGCCAAAATGGGTAGCTGATTACAAGGCTGTTACCACAGTCGAATGAAGGATAAGGAATGGTGGGCGATTTTGTAGGGTTGCCATTGATGGAGGTGTGGAGAAGGATGGTGAAAAGGAGAAGATGGGAGAGATGGTGAGCTATGGAAGCCATGAAGGTGAACATGAAATTGTCATGGATGTGGCATGGGTTATTCAAAAGAAGTTGGAAGTGTGTTTAGTTGATCTTCATTTGTTTTTTGTTTTGTTCCTTTATTTTTTTATTTTTTATTTTTTGAATATTTCATTAACTAGATTGGTTGAGTCCAAAACAGAAGTCAATGATGGGATCTTATGATGAATAATTGATTTTATATATTATTGGTAATAATAATATAAGGTGATATTAATAGAAGTTTTTATTAAATTGGTTCAGCTTGTCTTCGATTAGAGATCAAGATTGGACCGTCCAGTCTGGCCTATAGGCCCCTTTTCGATAATATGAACCATTCAATATATAAAACTTGAATAATGCTTGGGACTCCCTTTTGGGGGTCACCCCCTCACCCCCTTTGCCACGTGGCAGGGGGTGATTGGAGGAGCAGGAAAAAAAAGAAAAAGAAAAAGAAAAGGTAACCAATGAGAGAGAGAGGGGGTCAAAGGGGGTGGGGGAAAAGGGGGGATGAATCATTACTCATAAAACTTATCGAGTACTATATTTCTGTGAAAAATCACGTAAGTTTGATATCGATAGCTCTTTGATCGAATCAGGTTTCTATTAACCGTTTATTTTTTTATTGTTCATTTTTTTTAATACAAAACTGATCTGATCAAATAGCTATCGATATCCGATCAACGTGATTTTTTACAAGAATTTCTATATATTAACAGTTCAAATTATTAAAATGAAACCCAAAAATAAATCTATAAATTAGGCTGAACTGTCCAATCTAGATATCCAACTCAAGACAAGCTAGACAGTTATTAAATAATCATGGATGACATTGGGCTTTAACCTGCTCTCCCACGCGTACAACGCAATTGGTTTGGTCTTCAGATATTTTTTTTCCCCTTAATAAACATCTTGAAACATTGTTTAAGACCATAAAAATATAAAAAAAAAATTATTCATACATAGAATTTGAACAAAAAACCGTATAAAAATATTATGTCAATATCATTATTGTAAATAAATATATCTTTATAAATGTTTTATTTTAAAATAAAGTGCTCATATTAAACTATATCATTATGCATAAAAAATCTACATAAATTTTTTATTTATATATGGTTGCTCATAAAAATATATTACACACTTTTGTTATCTAAGCATCGAAATACCAACATGTAATTACAGATTTTTTTTTATTGGAAATTAGCTAAAAAAATTAGTTTATTGATTAAAAAAACGCAAGTGATATAGCACTGCTCAAATGTGTGCAGCTAGTGAATAAAAAAAATAAATTGGGTAAATTACAAATACATCCCTTGAGATTTTTTTAAAGTACAGATTATACCATGTGATTTGAAAAATTACAAATATCCCATTGTCAATTTTTATTTATTTAAAATAGTTAACTAAAAAAATAAAATTCATACTTACTCTCCCATGAAATAATAAAATTACTTAAATTATTAATTGAAACATGTTTCTAATATCATTAAAAATTGTTAATTGACTTGTTGATTTATTAATAAAAGGATAATTTGTTATGAAATTAAAAACCTCAAAGGGTGAAATATAATTTCTAAAATTACAGAGGCGATTTGTATTTTACTTAAACCTAAGAACATGTATTTATAATTTACCCAAAAAATTGTGTACAGCTACGAAAACCATCCTGTCCAGATATTATTCTTGATGCAAATCGATTGGACTAGGATAGCGAAGATAGGTTCAGCCCAAGATACAGCTCTCTTCGTGGAAGGCCCAGTCTAGTCCAGCCCATCCCAGCCCAACCGAAAGTTTGGTTTTTTGCTAGTAGCCCAACTGGAAGTTGTATATATGAGGTAGGGTAAATTATACTTTCGGCTTGTTATGTTAGGTTACTTTCTCACTTTAATTCTTTTTTTTTTATTTTGGCTTTTCATATTTTTTATTTTTTATTTTTTATTTTAGTCTTAGAGTAAAGTAAGAAAATTTTAAAATATAAAAAGTCAAAATAAAAAAAATAAAAATAAAAATAAAAATTTGAAAGGCCAAAATAAAAAAAGGTATAGTGTAATTTACCCTATGAGGCATTAGGGTTGACTTTTGGGAGCCTGAAAATTAGAGATCTGTGAGTGAACGCGTGGTTTAGGTCTTCGTTTGAAAAGTTGGGTTGATTTTTTAATTTTTTTTTTGATTATTTTAGTTCTAATTTAAAAGTTTGTTTAATTTGATTTTTTTAGTTTTTTTAAATTTTTGTGAGAGAGGAGTGGGCGCGAATTCATTGCAGCTGCAGAATCTTAAATTCGCCATCTGTCTGTCAAATTGATGGATTGGAAAAAATCAATCTGCATCCGTCTGCCAATCCGGCAGATATGGATTAAGCGAATTGACAGATGAATGCGAATCGATTTGGCGGTTTAAAATTTTATAAATTTTTAACATAATTTAACTTGTGCACCTCCTCCAAAAAAAAAAAAAAAAAATTACAATCAATGATTTAAAAAAATATTATGATCACTGCATGCCTCATCCAAAGACAGAAGTTTGAAACTTTCAAATATTACAATCACTGCATGTCTCATCCGCATATTACAATCATAGTATGCCTCATCCATATAAAGTATTATAATCTGTAATTCTTAAAATATAAAAATAATTCAAACCACCAAAACTATGAATAGAGCAGTAATAGAGATTATATGCCTTTGTTTTGTTACATCTATATCTATTTTTGAAAACAAAAACCAACTAGCATATATTATTATTTCTATTTATTATTTTTAGAGTTAGATTTAAAAATAAAAAAATATATTCAAGTTGAAACTTTTGCAATTAAAAACACAAATAGAATATCTACACAAATTGAAAACACAAAGTCTTACAAATTACTAGGGGTGTTCGCGGTTTGACAGTTTGGTTGCGGCCAAAGGAACCTCAAATCCACCATCTGTCTAAAACTAGACAGATTGGAAAAAATTAATCAGCAACCGTCCGCTCATCATCACGCATCGGTCCAAAATACGGCACATCGGTTCGGTTCGGTCAGTTTTGTTGGATTGATATATCTGCTGCTCACCCTAATGTGAGAAAAAGTGAAATCTATATTATATTATATATATAAGCAAATGCAATTATTATGTCAAAAGTCTCCAAATGTTTATTCTTAAATTCTCATAATTTTAGAATAAATAAAGAAATATGTGGCATCTCCTTTCACATCTCTTCTCACTATTCAGATCATTTCACTCTCTTCTCAAATTGTCATATAAAAGATAATAATACAAAAATCAAATAATATCTTTCCTTAAAGTTTTGGGTATAGATATGTATATAGAAACCCATATGTCTATCACTATATCACATAAACGTAAATTAAAAAAAAAGAAAAGAAAAAGGAACCCACAAATTTCACAACTCTTATTCCTAACTGTTATATATATATAAATTTTTTTTTTAAAAAATCAAATAATATCGTTTTGGGTGTCTATCTAAAATCTCAACCCAACATTTTTGAATTTTTACATTTAAAAAAAATTACAAAATGCCATACTCAATTTCTATTGGATCATGCTTCCTTTTTTTTAAAAAAAAAAAAAAGAAGAAAAGAAGAAGAATAAGAAGATGATGAAAAAGGTTAAAAATAATAAATAAACAACCAGGTAAGTGTTAGCATTTATTAGATAAATGTTTGCTTTAAAAAAAATAAAATAATTGATTTGTATTTTAAAAAAACATGATGTTAAAATTTTAAATTTAAATTTTCTATGATATTTTTAGCTCATTATCTATATCAAAAAATTAAATTTGAATTTAAACACTAAACTTCCAAAATATATTATATTTAAAGTTTTCCATATAAATTTGAACATCTATATAATAAAACAGAACGGATTTTGAAAATATGTAAAATGTATCAGAGATACAGTTCATTTCAATGGCTGAGACGATTTGTTTTTAACATTGAGGGCTGAGATGCTTTGTAATATTTTTAATTCCCGTCCAAAACAATCCCCTCTCTCTTTTGTGTTCGACTCACCCCAAACATTATTTGCACATCTCTCTTTCTCTCTCTCTCTCTCTCTCTTTCTCTCCAACTTCTCAGATCTCAAACTCTGTCCTCAGAGATCTCTCTCTTCCTCTCCCTCCTCTCCACCGTTGAGTCGCCTTCACCGTCGCGCCGCCTCTGATCTCCTCTCTAACTTCTCAGGTCTCAAACTCTCTATCCTTAGAGATCTCTCTCTTCCTCTCCCTCCTCTCTACTGTTGCTCCGCTTCCACTATTGCGCTGTCTCCACCGTCGCGTCGCCTCCGATCTCCACCGATAACAACTCTTCATCTTTACTCCCTATTAGATCTCAACCCACTACGGCACCTCCGTCCTCCATCGTTGAGAGCACCATGTCTTCCCAAAGCAAACGCAGAGAAACTATAAATCATCTATACACATCTCTAATTTTTATTTTTTATTTTTATTTTATATTTTATATTTTTTGAATAAGGGAGAACAATTTTTTTTTTCCTTCCATTTAATTATTATTATTATTGTTGTTGTTGTTGTTGGGTTTTGATTGTTGTGAAATAGGATGATGAGTAACTATAAGGTGGAGAAGTTCTCTGTGGATTTTCATGGACCCAAAAATAGTAAATCATCTATACCCATCTCTGATTTTATTTATTTATTTATTTTTAATTTTATATTTTTTGAATAATGGGGGAACGGTTTTTTTTTTTAATTTTACATTTCGTTTGAATGGCTGAGATTTTTTTTTATTTTTTATTTTATATTTTTTGAATACGGGAGAATGGTTTTTTTTAAAATTTATTTTTAATTTTACATTTCATTTGAATGGCTGAGATGATTCCTAATCAATATCTAACGGTTGAAGTATGTACAGTGATTTTATGATTGGATCTGTGTTATTCTTGCAGATTATTTTTTAATTGTTGTTAGTGTTATGAGTGCATATTGTTGTTGTTGATTTTAGGATTGGATCTGTGTTCTTCTTGCTGATTAATTTTTAATTGTTGTTGGTGTTGTCATGATCTGGGTGTTGTGAGTGCATATTGTTGTTGTTGATGATGAA